CAGTTCGAGTGGCCAAGGTCTGGGATGGGCTCCCAAGGGAGGTGGTGCTCTCCCCAACCCTGGGGGTCTTCAAGAGGAGGTTAGATAAGCATCTAGATGAGGTCATCTAGACCCAGCCCTCTTCCCTGCCTATGCAGGGGGTTGGACTCTGATCTATTGAGGTCCCTTCTGACCCTAACATCTATGAATCTATTGGCCGATATGGCTGGTTAATAATCGGCCATTGGTATTAGCCAAAAGAATCTTTATCGGTGCACCCTAATTCTCTCTTTTTTGTATGCCACTCACATCTTGAGAAACTGTCTGTAAAACCACAGACTTTTAAATAAGTGCATACTGTATTTTTATAAATACACATGCTGTTAATTAGCTGAGGCTTACAGTTTGTTAGTTATCTTTATCAGTCCATGCTTCCATCTAATGTATTGTTGTTCCTTTGCATAGTGTAATCAGAAAAGTAGCTCTGTAAAAATTGGTAGTGTGGGGTTCCATTCTCAGCCATTTTCCAGCAATTATATAGGAGAGCACCAGGGATACCAGAATTGTGAAGCCATCTGGCAGTTATCCTTTCAGGGCTTTGCACTACTTCCTTCACCTACCTGCCTGTAATACAATAATAATACTCTGCCACAAAGAGGTGTTAGGAGGATCATTGACTGGCAAAAATCATCTCTGATATCACCCCAGCACTAAAAATCATCTCTGATGTTCCACTGAAGTCAGCTCTGTGTCATTTGTTTATAAAGCACTTACATGATTTTTAAGAAGTGCTCCAATTTGAAACTCAAAAAGTGGTTTCTGTTCCTTCCTGTTCTGCAAATGCAGCCTCAGATCTTTACAACCTGGGTATCTTTTAGGCTATTTCAAGTAATTGCTTCTGCAATCAGAACTTGGTAGATCCTTCTATTAATAATGTAAGAGTCAAATAGAATCCAGCTCATTCTCCACTAGCCTTGTTGGCTGTGATGTGCTAACAGTAGCAAAACTTATTTTTGTCATTGTAAATAATCAGCTCTGAAGAGGCACACTAGTAGCAAATATTTTCAGAAAGAAGTCATTTTACACAGTTTCCTAAACATAACTCTGTATTTTCCTTTTCTTTTTCTTCAGACTAACTATCAGATTTCAGTGGATTGCTAGCCTTGATTTTGGTGTTTGAGGACCAGTTGCTGGATTTTGAATGCATTAATTTTGCTTTGTTTGCTTTTTGTATCTAAATTAGACATGGCTGGCTTCAGACTGCCCTGCCCTAAGAATTGTGTCTGTGGAGTATGACACCCATGTGAGTGACTGGAAAGCAAAATGCCCTGTTGAGGCACACAGGTAACAAATGGAGCGCATATAATTTGGGGAGAAGGGGAGAAGCTGTGAAAGTTTCATAGCTTCTCCCCTTTCATAGTGTCAGCTTTGGGATCATCCAGTCAGGAGTGGTCTTATTTGTTTTCAAACTCCGCATAGTTGACAACATATTATCTAGATATAATATGTGGGGGGAGAATTAAAGAGGAGGGGGTGTTCCATAACTTAAACAGTCCTCCAGAAGTACTGTGGAAGCCTGTGTTCTACTTAAACTATCTGCAGACTGAAAATAGGAATACAATTTTTTTCAAGAGCTGTAAATCCCTGGAAAGAGATCTCTATGGTGAATAAAATACATAGCAGCTTTGGACATAAAGTAGAAAATACCACATCCTACTGTAATTCAGGTATGTACTCCTGACAGAAGCATTTCTGACCACAGGCACTGAGAATCTCTGGCATACACCTTATTTTGAACATCACCTCCAATTTGACTGCTTGTTTTCTAAAAGAAAAAAAAAATCTTAACACAGACTCAGGCTAAGTACAGACAGTCAAAAATACCAAGGCCGAATCGATTTAATCTTCACAGGTTAGTGTAAATTGTCTAGATTGACCCAATAAGAAAGTGAATAGACATTCACTTTTGATACTAGAAATGCAGCCACATGCCTACAGTGGCCTAGGTCAGAACCTGGGGAGTGCTAGAGCACGCCTCTCTGCTTAGGTGGAGCAGACAGCTTGAGCCAATGCTACCCCACCCACCGTGAGATGGGGGTGGGAGAGGGGGGGGAGAGATGCAAAGCATCCTGGGATTCTGGTGGACTGAAAGTAACTTGAATCTGGAGGGGATCTGGGATAGAAGTTCAGTAAACCAATTTAAACTAAAACAGTTTAGTCTGATACTAGATCCATCCAGGTTTATCTTAATCCAGTTTTGGCCATTTTTAAAGTAGTGTATGTGTACTGAACTTGTTGTGTTGCAGATTTTGAACTGGTTTCCAATCACTTTTACTGGTTTATGTGTAACTTCTGTCCCTAGCCTCAAAGTTTCTTTTCTTTTTATAGAGATGACTAGGCTCTGGATCAGGTCCTTGTCCTAATCCTTTAAGCCAATTATGCACGTACAGAACTTTAAGTAGGTGCACAGTTCCATATCCTTAGCTGGGAGTGCTTGTGTGTTTTTATAGATAAACATCTGTATAAGTGTTTATTTGTGTTTGTTTCTGAAGTTTTTATGTTCAGGAAAGTGTTTGCAGGATCAGAGCTTAAGGGAGAATTTTGCTTTACATACATCATGGAAAAAATTTCAGCCCATTGTGTAAGAAGTTAGGGAAGTAAGTAAAAGGAAATAAAATTTCTCTATTTGTGTAGTAATTTCTGTTGCTTTGATAAAAATGCAGCAAACTGAGTTCAGAAAGATCACTAGAGTACGCAGTATTTGAATATTTAACAGCTCCATGTGAATGATAAAAAACAAAAGGGATGAAAGGGGTTGCTAAAATGTATCAACAGTCAAAACCTAGCCCTTCCATTACCATTCATAGCTATGCTAGCTGACTTTTTAAAAAAGAATTTACAAAGCTGTCATAGAAGTGTTGTGGACCCATAGGACAATATTTTGAGTCCCCATAGAGTTGTGAATTCCCAAATGCCCTTTTGAATTTGCTTTTCAAAAAGATCCAGTCCCCACAGCTCTCTTAAAGCTTTGTATTCAGCTAAAAAGGCATATTTGAGTATACTTTCATGTGTGCTGTACCAAAGTGAACTTTACTGTCCATGCTGAGAATTGATGGGATAGGACTTTTTAAATGTAGCTGTAATTTAGATCTTTGTGCACAGCAGCATCTCCAATATCCTGATGTTACCATTGCTTATTTAATACTCCAAACTCTCACCTTATCTTGTCTTCTGTGTTTAACCTGCCTCTACTGCAAGGAAAATGAATGTTATGCTGTAAAGTACAGTACTGGGAATTGGAAAACACAGGTTTTTTTCTGTTTTGTCAGTCTTGTTAATATTAAGCAAGTAGTTCACCATTTCTGTACCTCAGTTTATCCATGTTTAAAATGGAGTTGATGCTTTGGCACTCTTGTAAAGTATTATGCTAGGTAAATTATGCAGAGGGCCTGGACAGACCAACATTTACACTGTTTTAATCTTGGGGGGGATTTACATTTTGTCTGCTGTTTCATCTGTTTGATCCTGTCCTTCAGTAAATGAAGCTAAACCATAGTAACTTACCCAACTGTTTAATTCTAGAACATGCTGCCCAAGTTTGGTTTCTTCTTAGGTGAGTTAGAAGTAGAGAAACAAAACAGAGCAGATTCAGCTGAAATGTAGTAAATCACTCCTTTAAAACACTGTAATTGTTTATCTGTTCACACCTTGACTGACTTGTTTGTCATTGCATTGCTCCAAACTTCATGCACACTTTAGCAAAGTATTAGCCTTTCTCACATTTATGTATATTTTGTTTCAAGAGAGGATAGCATTTCTTATGCTCTGTTGCTTTCATAAAGTGAATAAAGAATTATTTTTATTGTTATAATGTGTGAACAAAAATGTTTGAAGTCCCAACACCTAACAAGATGTATACCGCTAAACTAAAGCTCAAAGAAAATTTCTCTAAGGCAAAATCAAAATGTAGTTATTGCTAGAAAATTATCTCAGTTCCAGTTCCTTGGAGACAGTCCTGCATGGTTTTCATTGTACAGTACTCAATGCCTAGTGAGGATGATGGCAACTGAGTGTGGCCAGTAGCTGACATAAGTTGTGCCTAACTTCCTTTATCACAGTACTGATGCACTGAAACTTCATTCCAGTCTGAAGCTGCCCTTTATTATGTTCACTTTCCTTCTGCTTATACCATCCTATTCTTCTGCAGGAAATCTATTGCTTATAGAAGCAATGAGCTTATCAAAAAACTTAGAGCTGCTGGTATTGGAGAAAGACCTTTGGTATGGGTGTCCCATAGCATGGGGGGTAAGTACATTGGCATAGATCAGCTATTTATTATCCATGATTACTTTTTAAAATGAGTAGTTAAATTAGTCAAATAGCCACATTTGAAACAAGTTTGGTTGCCCTAGATCAGGTGTGGCAAGGCAAAGCCATCTGGCCTCATGGGCTGTGTGAGTGGCATGGAGCCAGTCTACAGGCCAAATTGGACCCAGAGACCATCCCTTGCATGTTTGATCCATACATGTCCTGGAGTGGATACTGCATGTAGCGTGGTCCTGCTCCAGCTGCTCCAGAGCTCCCCACTCCAGGATGTGCTGCTGGATCTGGCATGGAGCTGATATGATCTGGAGTGGGCACCACATGGGGCTATCCGGCATGCCCCATGTACTGCCTGTGGATCAATTCTGACAGCTGAATGAGAGGGCTCTGTGGGCCAGATTCAGCCCATGGGATTCGTCTTTGACACCCCTGCCCTAGATATTTGCAAGTGCTCATTTGAAAATGCAGAACTGAGCTGATATTTTCTTAATGTTTTATACTGTATAACACACACGCTTCATTAATGAGCTCTGTTGTTTACTTGTATTGGTTAACACCACAAATAATCACCAAACAATTTAGCTGAAACTATAAAATTAATCATGAAATTGAGAACTGACAGGCAAATTCCCCTTGTATTAGTTTTATAGCATGTCTCTAGTGCCATTTAAAGCTCAATGAGTAAGTCTGGAGTACAGGATTGACACAATATATTGACATTTTACTTTTTCTGCTTTCTTACAGCTTACTGCATATTCTTACAAACTTTACAAACTAGAAAGCTAATTAACTGAGGCAGGAATATTGTTGCCTGCCTCATATTTAATATATGATCATTATTCTAACAGTGATTTACTTCCCTGCATGAGTGAATTTCTTTTGTTGCTAGGTCTTCTAGTAAAAAAGATGCTAGTAGATGCTTCCAAGAACCCAGAAATGGATAAAATTGTAAACAATACCCGAGGCATCATATTTTATAGTGTACCTCATCATGGTTCTCGACTGGCTGAATACTCAATAAATGCTAGATATCTTCTCTTTCCTTCTGCAGAGGTTAAGGAACTCAGTAAAGGTATGTTTACTTCCTTAACTCTTACCAACAACATGACATGTTGCTGATTTTTATCATCTCTGAAAGTTCATAGATAAAAACAGCAACATCTCTTCTTATCTTTAGGACTGTCTGTTACATGGATTAAATATCTGCTGCATCTGATTGGGGGGAAGGCAGAACTAAGGGCAAATTTACAGAAGAGTAGGCTAAACTGTTTAGACATGTAACGGTGGAGTATGTTACTCCTCTGTAGTATACCTCACCAAGATGAAGGAACTGGTTGAAAATCTGTGTGTGGAAGGTAACTTAGGTGATAGAGATGCAAAATGAGTCTTAAGGGGGAAAAAAAGGAGAGAGAACAGAAGAATAAAGATAGTGGACTTCAAGAAATTAGACTCCAGTAAACTAAAATAATTGGTAGATAAGATCCCCTTGGAAACAGTGGTAAGCGAATGAAGAATTCACGAACATTGTAATTTTCTTAAGATAACAATAATTAGAAGACATGTACACGCTTTTCCAATGTAAAGGAAAGATAGGAAAAGTAGGAAGAGACCAAGCTGGTTAAATTACAAATTATTCAAGGACCTGGAACTCAAGGAGAAATTGAATAAAAAATGAAATCTAGGTCAAATTACTGAGTCTGAGTCCAAAGGTATAGCACAAGGGGTAAGGCCAAAGCAGGAAATAAGATAAAAATAGCAGGAGACATGAAGAGAAACAAGAAAAGATTTTATATTTACAGTGGTAGTAAGAAGAAGTACAAGGACAAAGTTGGTCAACTACACAATAAGGAAAAGATGCTAAGAACATGTGATACCTAGAAAGCCAAAGTGTTTAAGGGTTTTTTTCCTTCAACCTTCACTTGAAAGGTTAAATGTAATCAGATGGTTAACGCAATTAGTATCACTGAAGAGGGGTAAGAACTCAGACTAGTATAGAATAGAGAATGTGGAATATGGGTGGAAAAGATAGGAAAAGGGCAAACTTAACCTCAACTTTTTAAAAGGAGGAAAAGAGAGGATCAAGGAGTTATAGATCACTTAGTTCCATTCTGTTTAAAGATATGAGAATAAACAAACATGAAATCTATTGATAAATAGATAAATATCTAAAAGATAACAAGGGTATAAATAACAGCCAGATTGGATTTGTCACGTCAACTCAGTTTCTTTCTGTGGCGGGGTAACAGGTCTTGTGGATAGTGGAGAAACAGGAAATGTGATGCATCTGTCTCACATTTGTCTCTGTGATATCCTTTTAAGCAGTTTAGAAAATATAGTCTAACTCTAGATGGGAAAAAAGGGAGAGGTCACTATGTGACTGGTTGACATATTCAAAGAATAGATGTCAGTGTCTCAGTCACAACGGGAAGGATGTATCAAGTGGGGTTCATCTGGGTCTGGTACTAGTCAGTGTTTTCATTAATGACTTGGATAATGAAATAAAGAGTACACTCATTAAATTTGCAGATGATACCAAGCCAAGAAAGGTTGCAGGCACTTGGAGAACAGGATTGGAATTCAAAATGAGCTTGACAAATTGGAGGGAGGAAAAAAAACACCTTGAAATAGATAGAATGAAATTCAATAAGGACAAGTGCAAAGTATGACAGTTAGGTAGGAATAAGTGACTGCACAAATAAATGCCAGTCATTCTCAACTGTGTTAGGCAGCAGTTCTCCAGAAAAAAGATTTCAATGTTGTAGTACCACACAAAGTATATGAGGTACTGTGCTTGCAATGGGTCATGCTTATGCAAAAAAAGCCAACATCATGGTAGGATATATAAACAGTAGGCTCATATGTAAGATACAAGAAATAGTTCTTCCGTTCTGACACTGATAAGGACTTGGGTGGAGTACTGTTTCTAGTTTTGTCATGGAGTATCGTAACTGCCTTAAAATACATGAAAGGTTGCTGTAAAGAGGAAAGTTATGAATGACTCACTATGTTCACTAGCAATAAGACAAGAAGTAAATTAAATTTAATTTAAAAAGTGATATTTAGGTTAAGTGGTAGGGAAAAAAATTCTAGTTAAGCACTGGAATCATTAGGGAGTTGAGGAATCTCCATCACTGGAAGAAGAATATAAAGATCTGTCAGGAATGATTTGGGCAGGAATTTTTCCTTAGGACAAAGGCACAAACCAGATTAACTTCCTGAGGTCCCTTCCTGCCCTATTCTGATGATTCTCTGATACTTTATCTGCTATAGGATGAAATGACAGAGTTGCATAAGCCAGTTTCCTGTTAAATTAAACACAGGGTCTTACAACAGATGTGCTGCTCTTTTTATTTGAGGTTATAATTTTGCCAAAAATTATTCCTTATGTGATTAGTGTAGATAAGTTTCAGTTCTGAGACTGAGTTTACACATACTGCAATATTTATTTTCCATTTTTCTTCAGACTCTCCTGCCCTTAAAGAACTGAATGATGACTTTCTCTCATTTGCCAAGGATAAAAAGTTTCCGGTGTTGAGTTTTGCAGAAACTTTACCTACACACATAGGGAGCATGATAAAACTGCATGTGGTACCAGTGGAATCAGCAAGTATGTCAAATAACTATTTGCTTTTTTGTGTTTTGCTGTAGGGAAGGATGCTATCATAGTAGTAGTTGGAAAGATATTTAATAGGATATTATGTGAAAAGTTGTTGATGGTGCCTTTTACAAAGTTTTCACCAGTTTTTTAACTTGATTACATTCCTGTATCTATACATGTGTGCCCCTCCTGTTGAAGTCCAAGAGAATTATGCATGTATCTGAATGCATCTCTCTTACATTTTTCACATTTGAACAGTGCATACTTACTAAAGGAAAACAGGCCTTGCTCTTATATTTCTTATCTGTTCTTCTGATTAAAACTCCTACAGCCTAATATGGACGTATGGATATTTTCACTAGCCAACAAAAAAGCCCAGCTGTAGCCACCCTAAAAACAGAAAAGAAAATCGGCAAATACTGACCAAAGTAATTGTACATAAATATATTTTTCTACCTGTTCTACATCCTTGTCCTTCGTCAGTCAGAAGATGTATGCTGAAGCAGTTGTGTGTTGAAAATTAATTCATAATCCTGAAATCTTGACTTGCATATTTTTGCTGGTGTGTGAAAAGGCAAAAAACGCAGGGTTTGTTTAATGTGTGATCAGCATATAGAACTTGTTGTCCAGAGTTGGAGATTTCAAATGTTACTTCATGGTTTGGGGGTTTCCCATACACGATTGACTTGCCTAGTGAGATTTTTGCAAGGACTGATTCTTACCTGTTTACTTACCAAAATATTATTGATATATATTTTTAAATGAAGCCTGAAAATTAGAGAGTTAAACCAGAAAAAAACAAAATACAAAAACAATGAGGGCACGAGGAGTTGTGTGGAGCAGTATGGCAAGAGTTGTATATATGATGCTGGCAGAGTGCTCTCCTTTTTTTGAAGTAGCACTTAGAAATTGCAGCACTCCTTATACTGTTCCCAGGCCTAGTGGTACTCAGTTTGTTCGGTGGTTATGCCCACTCTACCACTCTAGTGGCCTTTCATGTACAAGAAGAAGCTTCAGACACAATGAAGAATTTCTCTGAAAATTAAAGCACTTGCAAATAGGATTAAATTGCCAATCTCAGCATGACCTGACCTAGAAGTGAGAGCTGTGAGGAAACCTATGCGTCTTAACTAGTCTCAGTGTAAATAATGAGTTGGAAATGGAGCACCATTTATAGGAGTTTATGCCATCATAAGGAACGTGACTTTATGCTGTTTTGAATATTTACGTGTAAATCACCCTGGTTTTAATCTTCATATCAAAATATTTTTATAAAGATTTTATTTGATTATGGTAAAGTTGAACAAGTTTGACAATTGGTAAAGCCTTCCACATTCCATTAGATACTTTTGAAATGCAGATACTGGGTGCATCTATATACTCATTTAATGTGCTTTAGGTAATGCACATTAAATATAGTACCTCCGGGCGTTTATACACATACCGTTTTGTCCCGCAATGTGCTGGAGATCCACTGCTTTGGAGTAGACTTGATTAATACACACGAGCTGATGTGAACTGTGCTGCACCACGTGCAGGTGTATAAGAAGTGAAATGCACATCAGTATGCAGAAAATGGCAGTGGTGCACTTTTGAACTAAAACAACTTCTTATGAGTTTTAGTTCAGAAGCACGCCACCACCATTTTCACAGCACTGATGCACATTTTGCCATTTATACAACTGCAAGCGATGAAAAGCATCCAGCGCTGCAAAGCGCCAGGCGCTGCGATACTTGTGTGTGTAAAAATGCCCTCCATTGTGAGGAACTAGAAGTAGGTTCATCAGTCTATTTTAATGTGCATTAGCTGAAGAGCACAGTTTTTGTAACATTTTAATGCCCATTAAAATGGGCATTAAAGCACATGTGTAGACACACCCACTGCAGGTTAAATCCTGGGCTGCTTTGAAACCAGTCGTGAAACTCCCATTAACTTCAGTACAGCCACGATTACATTGCAAAGTGGGTACTGGTAACTGGCTCAGTAGAGAAGCGGAAGTTGTGATCCTTCAGCAGGTCCTAGCAGTAGGGTTTGCCTACACAGATCCTTGATCCTTTTGAAGTCATACTTGCTTAATATGGCAGCGTGTTTAAAATGCTTTTGGTCCGTTAAAAACATAACCTAGTCTCAGGAAAAATTATTAAACAACAGAGAAGAGCTGACTGCTTCTGGAAAAGCAGCCACTAGTGCAAGAGCTTTTTAAAAAATCTAGATACTCTCTTTTATTGAACTCTGAGTGGTTTTTTTTTTTCTTTTTCTTGGTCCAGATTTAGGTATAGGAGATCTAATTCCAGTGGCTGTCAATCATCTAAACATTTGTAAGCCAAAGAAGAAGGATGCTTTCCTGTACCAGCGGACTTTAAAGTTCATTCAGGATGCACTTGCAAGGGAACTTGGAAGCTAATTCTTTGCTGTGTGTGCACACATAGCAAAATCCTTTCTATGAAACTTCTGAGAAGCTGAGAATTGAAAGACATTATATTATTAATAAAATATGATCTCAGTGTGGCTTTCAGCATATCTGCATAGGTCTGCACTACTTATGGCTGAAATTTATTCAAAATAAATGTGCACCAATCCACAGTCCTGTAAGTCCGGCATTAAAAGGTGAGAATCAGCTTTGATTCATTTTGCTTGTCAACATGTCTCTATATAATTTTATATAATTGTTTGGCCAGCAGAGGATGGAGATACATCCTTCACAGCTCACAAAATCATGTTGCACAGAAATAGCTATAAAATACTTGAAACTTCCTCTTCCACTGTATCTTCCCAGCTGGAGAGGTTATGAGGGTCCTGGCTCTCTTGACTGAAATAAGTATACTTCCTGGATAAAAATCTTGTACAGAGGATCAAAAACAGTTAACCCAGAAGATGATTTCTGGGTTGGCAAACAAGCAGCTATCTTGAAGTACACATCTTCTGTTCATGGTTAGGTATTTAAACAAAATTTAGAGGGAATATCCCTGATTGCTTGATTCAGAATATTTTTTAAACTTTCTTTTTAAATAAATCCCACTTATCAAATAACAGATTTAACATTTAAAGCTGCATCCAATCGCCTAAATTATGTAAATTATATGTAAAGACAGATATTTATTTTCCCTCAACTGTGCTCCCTTAAGTCAATGTCCACAGGAGCCTTGTGTTCTTCAAGATAGTATTTTGATTGATAACCAGTTACAGTTTGGTTGTTCTACTTGCCTTTTTGTTTCATGGACTGAGAAGTGTTAGCAAGTCCAGTACTTTGTTTCCTGCCTGAGGAGGAGATATCATCACCTAATATGATCTCTGGCATGGTATCCTGTGGAAAGGAGACAATGGCAGTTTAATCTAGTTTTGAAAAAAAAAAGTCTTGCACAGTTCTATTTTAATCGTATCCGCTCTTGAACTTCTAGATAATAGAAAAATTGACCTAACGTGAGACTGTTTGTTTTATTTCAGCATAGTTTGTGTTGGCTAGGTCAAGGGGAGGGCTTTTGCTCTTTCAAATAGAAGATCTAGGATAGGCGATGCACATGTTAACTTCTGGCTGCTTAATTTAGGGACACTGAGAAGGCAGTGTACTTTAATCCCTGGAGGCATTGGCTCAGATGTTCAGTAGGGAGCTTTTTAGCTGATTTAAAGAATAGTGCTGGAAAAGCTCTATTGGAGCAAGACATTTATGCAGTCCTTGACAAGATGGTAGCTATGACAGGAGACTGTGGAAGAGGGCGAGCATATCAATAAGGCAGGAAAAAATAAGAACATTCCCAGAGCTCTTATCAGAAACACTGAGGACTTCAAAGCAAAATATTTTGCACTTACAGAGGCCTGTGTGAAGTTATTTACTTCATGTAGAAAACCAGCAGCATTGTCTTGTATAAATTGTGTGGACTGTTTTTGCCCTGAGTGTTTTGGATCCATGTCATGATGACACAGTTAATGTCACTGATGAGAAATAAATGTAATTTAGAACAAGACTGCCAGTATTCAGCCACCTATCTTCAAGCCGTAAAAGAATCCAAACAAAATTAAGAGCAGCCTGGCTACGGCCTTGATTTAACAAAGCCGTATTGAAGTTTGCTGCTGCAGATCTTCCGCTAACCCTTCTGATCTTCAGCCTCTCCCAAACCAAGTAGGCTCTCTCTCCAGTAGGCTGGAGGCTTCTAGGCAGCCCTTTGCTAATGGGATCCTTGGCTGATGTTGATAGGGGGACCACCAGAGACTGTTTAGGGAATCACTTAATATCTCTCTTTTGTGGGACGAATCTGCCAGATCATACAGTTATGTGGTAAAAAGCCACACAATCAAAACAAGTTGAAATGTACCTCAGAAGTCTCATGGGAGCTTAGCATAAAAATGGTGTCTGCTGAAAACACCTTTGACATTCCCATATTAGAACATCCTGATCTAGGAGGACACAGTGCTGGGAAGAGCAGCTTCTGAAGCTTAGCCTCAGCCAGCCAGACTTGCACTGTCAGATTCAGGATCCAGAGAAGCACAGAAGGCCTGGCACCATTTTTGACCTAAAGCCCCATGTGTTTTCAGGGGCATCATTTCAGACTGAAACAGGCCCAAAACAATGTTTAAAGAAACATATTCTGTTGATGCTGTCTCTTAAACTTCATAATGTAAATACAATAGAGTCCTTATTTGTTAAGAACAGACCTGGGCCATATGGAATTAGTTTGGATACCCAGGGTTTGGACAGACTTGAGAACTGAACATCGTAAAACATGTGGAGCGTGACATTACCCATTTTTGAGAAGTAAACTTTTAGCTAAGAGGGATTCGGATCAATGAAATTCTGTGGTAATGCTTTGTACAGTAAATCCTTTTGTATTGGCTATTGTAACTGGAATTCTTGAAGAACTCTCATTTTTCTATAACTGCTGAATGAATAAATATGTAACCTTTTAACTTAATAATAGGCTTGAGTTATTCAGTAATGTTGTATTTGGGAGATGGTAATGACATTTTTTTTTTTTTTAAAGAAAGTAATTTACTATATATATAGTGAAAATACATATTAAATAAATTGCAAGTGACCTGCTGAGTGGGAGCATTTGTTTTCTAAATGTTGATAAATGTCTTGTGTTCAGTAATTAGCTGTTTTATTATTATTGCCCTTTGTATGTGGTGTGTAAGGTGAGAACAGGAGCGCTAAGAGCTCCAAAAGCATGAAGGTGTGGAACTCGACCAAATCTTAAATGTTTTGCAGAGCTGTATTATTTTCCAATGTTTGTTTTGGACTGGGTTTTCATTTTGTCAGGACTAGTGGAGCTTTTAAATAGCAAGTTTAACTGCACTGTATTAAATCCAGTCTTGTGCTTCTCTTCTCTCACCCTCTTACCAAGTAAGAATATAAAAACATAAGTGCATTACTGGGTCAGGCCAATGGTCCATCTAGCCTGGTATCCTGTTTTTGACAGTGGCAGGAGTGCATGCAATACGGGGAGAGCACCAAACTGCGTATCTCTAGAATAATCTATTCCTTACTCTACCAGGCATCCACCATTTTTAGTTTAGAGATGCCAGAGGAAATATCCCCAACCATTCTATTCAACAGCCATTTAGATCTATCACCCATGCATTTATTCAGTCCCTTTTTGAATTTGGCTATGCTGTCTGCATCCACCACCTCCTGCAGCAATGAATTCTACAAGTTAACTATGTGTTACATAAAAAAAAAATACTTTAAACCTGTCACTTAGTCATTTCAGTGTGTGCCCAATAATTCTAGTATTCTGGGACTTGGTGAACATCTGTTTCCTGTTCATTTGGCCCACACCTGTCATTTTAAAGACCTCTATCATACCCCACCTCAGCCGCCTTCTTTCCAAACTGAAGAGTAAGAAACTGTGCTTTACTGTTAACTTTAGAAGTAGCCATTGTATTTCATGACAATCTAAAATAGTGACTCTTATTTTTTCTGAGCTGCACAGGACTCAAACTTGGCCTTTACCCAAAACACCCACACTTTTCCACAGGTGGGAATTCAGCAGATGCGTGGCTAGTTGGCAGATGCTTTTTACCTGCTTGCTGACTGCTGGACGATCTTTTCCCTATTTACAACTTTGGCATTTACTTACATAAATACTTTATTTTAATGCAGTTTTGAATTGCTTATGTGAATGGGGCTTTTAAGCATGTTTGCAGGTCTCCTTCTGAGACTGCAATTTGGGTGGTTTATCTAGCTTAAATGGAACTGTCAATATGCTTGTTTTATGGCTTTATGATTCTTTATATCATTTAGTTTATAATTTCATAGTTACCACAGCATTCACAAAATGTCAGCAGGGAATCCTGTACATTAGAGGAAGAAGTATTCAACTCGGCCTATGTGCTGGCTTGGCCATTTGTTGCTCCCTGGGTTGCAACTTGAAATTAGTTCTCATTGTTGACCTAACGTGCACAGTAAATAGCTGTAGTACTACATGTAAGAATTCCAGTTGTGCTAGCCTGTAGTTATGCTAAACTATAGTAAGTTATGGTGCTGAAAAGCAGTAGGAGAGAAAACGCCTCCTGACCACTGGGTGACCCAGTAAGAAAGAAAAAAAAACTAAAACCCAATAATGGGCAAAAAGACACTGAAGGGAGTATGAAAACAGTAGATACTAATGTAAAAGTTAGTACTTACTAATGAGAGTGCAGATCCATGAACTTGGCAAACCAAACAAACAAAGATGAACATCTTGACAGAGAGATAAGAGTGGGCATGAGATAGGGTGATACACAAGAATAAATATAGGATTTGGGAGACCTGTCCCTCATAAAGACCTAAGGAAATGTGAATAACGTACGGTGTCTGTACCAGTGAAGAACAAGTTTCTTCAAGTTGGGCTAACTGTTAATCAGGGTCATGTGCCATGGTCTATTGTAGACACATCCCTGTGACCATGCATCGCTGCCTACCCTCATGGAGAATGGGCCCGGCCTGACATGACCCAGCCTAGCCCGGCCACCTAGCATGCACCTTTGGACAGGAGCTGTGGGTTCCGGTTCTGTCCAAAGTCATGCTAGTGGGCTGTCGGGCCAGGTCGAGTCATAGATTTCATAGACATTAGGGCTGGAAGGGACCTTAGAAGATCATTGAGTCCAGCCCCCTGCGCCAGGGGCAGGAAGTCAGCTGGGGTCATAGGATCCCAGCAAGATAAACATCCAAATGTCTCCTGAAGGTGTTCAAAGTAGGTGCTTGAACCACCTCTGGCAGCAGTCATTCCAGACCTTGAGGGCTCAGACAGTAAAGAAGCTCTTCCTTATGTCCAGCCTGAAGCGGTCATGGAGAAGTTTGTGACTGTTCGATCTTGTCATCCCTTGGGGCGCTCTGGTGAACAAACGTTCCCCCAGATCCTGGTGAGCACCCCTTATAAACTTATAGGCGGCCACCAGATCACCCCTGAGCCTGCGCTTTTCCAAGCTGAAGAGTCCCATAATTCTCAACCTCTCGTAAGGTCTGTTTTCCTGACCTCTGATCATGTGGCTCTCCTCTGGACTCTCTCAAGCTTCTCCACGTCCGTTTTGAATTGCGGAGCCCAAACTGGCTATCCCTCAGGATGTTGCCATCGGCCAGTCTGTTAAGAATGGCCTCTTTGATAATCTTTTCTAAGACCTTCCCTGGGATAGAGGTCAGGGTGATGGGCCTGTAGTTTGCCGGATCCACTTTCCTCCCTTTCTTGAAGATAGGCACCACACTGGCCTTGTTCCAATCATTGGGCACTTCACCAAAGCGCCAGGAGTTCTTGAAGATCCATGCTAGGGGCTGAGCTATGATGCTTGCCAGCTCCTTGAGTACCCTGGGGTGTAGACTGTCAGGGCTGGCTGACTTGAAGGTATCCAGCCTCTCAAGGTGTTCCTTCATAAGGTCAGCATTGATGGAGGGTAAAGAATCACCCTCATCCTGGAACTTCCCGTCCCGTAATGGGCAGGGGCAACCCTTGGGACTGGTGAAAAAACGATGCAAAGTACCCATTGAGCAAGTTGGCTTTTTCCTGGGCGTCAGTTGTCCCATCTGGTTTAGCAGGGGTCCAATGTTGACCTTGCTTTTCCTCTGGCTCCCCACATATCTAAAAAAGGACTTTATATTGTCCTTGATATTTGTAGTTAGTTGGAGTTCAGTCGCAGCCTTGGCTTTCTTGGTTTGCTCCCTGCAGGTCCAGACCAGTGCAGAATATTCCTCCTTGGAGGTGGATCCAGTCCTGCATCCTTTGTAGATCTTTCTTTTTAGACACAGGAGGTCTGCTAGTTCCCTGCTGAGCCAAGGGGGCTGCTGTGCCCTTTTGCTGCCTTTTCTCTGAGACAGGATAGACTTTGCTTGTGCATCCAGGATCACTCCCTTGAGGAGCAACCACTCTTCCTGAACTCCCCTCTCCTTTGGGTTGTGGCCCTTTAGGGCCTCCCTGACAAGCCTCCTGAGCTTGTCAAAGTCAGCTTTCCTGAAGTCGAGGACTTCTGTATTACTGACTGACTTGCCAGCTGTACGGCAGACGGTGATGGTGATCAGCTCGTGGTCGCTGTCACCCAGCTTCCCTTCAATCATGAGGTTGCTGATTAGGTCGTCCCCCATTGCCAGTACCAGGTCGAGCAGCGCTTTACCTCTTGTTGGCCTGTAGACTTCTTGAGTCAGATAGAGGTCATCCACACACGAGAGGAAGCTTTGTGACTGTTTGGATTTGGCCAAGTGCTCTTCCCACAGATGTCTGGGTAGCTGAAGTCTCCCATAACAACCATGCACTGGGAGCGTGTGGCCTCAGCCAATTCCCTGGTGAACTCCTGGTCAAGCTCTTGATCCTGGGTAGGAGGTCTGTAGTAGACCCCACCATTGTGTCCTCTGTGCCGTGTTCCCCACAGATTTTAACCCAGAGGGTCTCCAGTCGTCCACCCTGGGCGCCAATGTCGCCTTGCAGGGATGTGTAGCATTCCTTGACATAGAGAGCTACACCCCCGCCCCTTTTGTCCACTCGATCGCTCCTGTACGGGGTATAGCTGCCTATACCTGTGGTCCAGTCATGGGTGGAGTCCCACTAGGTCTCTGTTATCCCTATGACATTGTAATTATTTGTGTTAAGCAGGAGGACAAGTTCCTCCTGTTTATTCCCCAAACTCTTGGCATTTGTGTACAGGCACACAAATGTTCCTTTGGGGGCCCTTGCCTTGCCTACAGATCGTTCCAGGGCTGGGGCAGGTGTGGGCTCCCTTAAATGCCTTGGCCTGCTGGCTTTGCAAGGGTTGCTCAGTGGGCCAGCAGTGGTGGTACTCCCCCCATCCCTCAGCGGGTTTAGTTTAAAGCCCAATGGAACAGGTCAGCCAGTCTACCTGAGAAGAGCCTCCTCCCCAGCAGAGAGAGGTGGAGGTCATCCCTTCCCAGCAGCTCATTGCCTCTCTCACCAAAGAGCGGACTGTGGTCAAGGAAGCTGAAGCCTTCATGATAACACCAGCGCTGCAGTCTTTGGTTTACTACCTCGATTCTCCTCTCCCTCCTCAGCCCATAGCCTGCAGGTGGTGAGGAAAACACCACCTGCACCCCCAACCAACCCCTTAAGCCCCGCTCCCAAATCCCTGTAGCGCTTCATGACCTGGCTGGGATTGCTCCGAGCCATGTCATTCGTGCCCACATGGATAAGGAGCATAAGGTAGTGGTCAGTGGGCTGGAGGAGCTTACGGATCTTCTCCACAATGACTTGGATATGGGCTTCCAGGAAGCAGCAGACTTCCCGGGCTAAGGGGTCGAGGCGACAGATTGCCCCCTCAATCCCCCTCACGATGGAGTCTCCCATGACAAACACTTTGCATTTTGTCTTAGGGAGAGCAGGGCCGGTAGCTAGAGTTAAGCCTGTGTTGCCTGCAGGAGCTGGCAGCTCTGCAGGCTTTGCTGGGGCTGCAAGAGGTTCATACTTGTTGCAAAGCTCCAGTGGGGTGGGGACCTTGGTGCAGTGGGCCTTGGGGCCCCTGACCACCTTGGTCCAACCCCCTGGCTGGACAGAATGGGAGGTTCCCGAGTCCTCCCTTGTCCTGGAAGGTGACTTCAGTCTGCCCTCTGCCTCCAGGGGGTGAAGGGCCTGGCAGTAGGAGTCTATCTCTTGCTCACCATCCCTGATAGCACGCAGTCTCTGGACTGTGGCCTGGAGCTCTTCTAGCTGGCGCGCCAGAGACCCCAAAAGGGAGCAGACCTCACAAAGGGAGGTGGCCATGCTCCTGGACCCCAGAAGCTGAAAAAGTGTCAGGCAGCCCCCACAGCCGAGAGCCAGAGGCTCTGTCTGTGTGGCGCCCAGAGCCATGGGGTCCATCTGGGTGGAGGCCTCTGAGGTGCCAGAGGGTCAGGTCTGTCCGGTTCCATTCTCCCCACACAGACCATAGGTCAGACAGTACTGCCACGGGCACAGCCCAGCTGGCACCACAGGGGGTGGGTGGGGCAGGCATGGGGTGGCCCCCCCCATAAACCCCACATCCCCCTCCACACCAACCAACACACCCCACACCCACCCACAACTCTTCCCCCTACCCATACATCTTCCCACCCTCCTCCTGCGAACCTCACATCCCCCACTCCCCATCACATACCCACTGTGCCCAGCTGCCAGACGGGCTGAGACCTGTTGGAAGGAGCTGTGATTGCAGGGGCAGCTGTCCCCACAACCTGGTTAGTGAAGGAATCAGGGGGAGCTCCAATTTTTCTACTATGAGAAAACCAACAGCAAACATTAAGGCACATAGATATTTAGAATTTATTTTAGTATGATGATAGAGACACTGGTAGGCTTCCAAAGTGTAAATATATCAATAAAACATTGCCCAACTGATCTCTCTCTCTCTCTCTGTCTATCTATCTAGTGCTCTTTTGTTTTAATTGTGGAAGAACATGGATTTTGGAGTATTTTAAAGAGTGAATTTGGGATTTTTTTATCAGAGAATTTGCAGTTTTTAAATAGGGAGCACCAGGATTCCAGCTAGTGAAGCAAGTGGCAGGACCCAGGCACAGAAACCTGCTCAGGACTGGCACTTGGGACCCAGCTGGAGGACAAATGAGGTGGCTGACCTCCTGGCCATTTGGGGCCAGAAGGACATGCTATGACAGTTCAAAGCAGGCCATCACACAGAACATCTTCTGGGCAGTAGCTGCCCAGATGGCACAAAGGACAGCTCTGCAGCCATGGGCAACTGGCAGCTGGCCCAGAGGTGCAGATGCCTCCGCTGTGGCCATGCAGTCTCCATCTGGGTCTGGTAGGCACGCAGCCTTGGGACCATGTGCTGTTGCAGGTGGCAGCAGGTCATATCCAGGCAGCAGCCCCAATGCCAGACTGCTGCAGTGGGGCAGAGGGTGCAGGGAACTCTGTTAGGGCTGCTTCAGCAGTCCAGCTGGGACAAGGGGCTAGTCTCTCCAGATACCAGTTGGCTGGGCCCCAAAAGCTCCTGATACCACTCTGTTTGTCCCTGTATTGGGTCATTCCATCTGCACCCCTCTCTCTCTTTCACTTGCTTGCTATTTGGTCCTGGCTGGTCAAGCAGGTGACCTGGCCAGATAAATTCCTCAGGGGGGCAGTGCCCTCTCTCTTCCTCCGGCAGCATTTTGGAAAAGCCACAAGCAACCTGCCTCCAGACACTGCCCAGGTGAATCACTGTGAGTAAAGACCTGGAAACTAGCTTGTAGATCAGAACTAAGTAAATGCAGTAGTGTCTTAAAAGGCTCACCGTACTCAATTTCTGTAAAGGCTCAACTTATTTTGGCTTGCTCAGTGTATTTCTGACTCCTTTGTTCTCCCCTTCTTTCCCCCACATCAATAAAGGTATCAGGTTACAGCATGACTGGCTATTTCACTGTGTGAGGGGCTGAGAAGAGGCCTTTTTGCTCCCGGCCGGCCAGCAGAGCTTGGCTGTTTGTTATCTCAGTCATAAAGATATCTCACCTGAGGTTATCCTGGGAGGCTTTGGGCTGAAAGAGGCACCCAGAAATATTAGCAGTGGGCAAAGCACTCCTAAGGCTTGCAGAGTCTGTGTATCCCAGGCTGCACAGAGCCCTGAGACCAGTGCCCAGGTGGTGGCAGTGTTACCCCAGGCTTGCGGGTGTTCTCCTGGAAGGGGCTGTCCAGCTGCAGGCTCTCCAGGGGAGACTCGCAAAGTGTGGTTTTGGGCCTGGCACAGTGAGGCAGGTGGGTCAGCGTAGTAGTGCCTCCTACTGTGCCGCCACACAAGTAGCCCTGAGCTGCTCACCAGGGCAACTTTTTATACTGCTGAGGCCAGCACAGGTGCTGACCCCAGGCCCTAGCTTCTCCTGGCTGCAGCTCTGGGAGGAGCTGGGCAGGGTCATTTTGCCTCAAGTGGCACAACTTATCCCACACCAAAGTGCATGTCCAGGCACATACGCTGTGGCAAAAATCCTCGGTACAAATTTGTGCCGCTATTTGAGCTGCTGCAAGCGCATGTGCATACGTATGTGGACACACCCAACATGTTTGCAGCAACTATAGTGTGTCTAGACAGTGGATTTCTACAAGCATTAGAAATCATCTCCCTATACAGACAAAATTCTTAGCTCTAAGAGCCCTGTGGTCTTTCAGGTGAGTACTCTGAGTGGATAGTGATATGTGGTATTTGGAAAGCAGGACACAGAGTAGGGCCAAGTGGGAGCCTGCCTATTCCCAGCACCTGTAGCAGCTCAACTAATGACAAAAAGGAATCTTTAGTGCAACTGAATCAATATTTTCAGTATCTATAACCTTTTAATTTTCAATTAATATTACATACAACCTAAAGGTCTATTGTGCTGGCTGTTACAGCTGGCCAAAACCCAGAAGGTCCACCTCACAGAGAATTGTGGGTTGTGGGGTGAAGAGGAACTAATTTGAGATGGAAAAAAATCAAAACTTTTTTTCATGGGAAAATCATTTCCTTTGTTGGCCTGGCAGCTGCCTGCCAGGGATGACACTTGTCAATTTTGCTTTCTCCCCTGCAGGCAGAAAATGAAATTGCTGAGCCTCCCAGGCAGGCAGCTGGTGAGCCATCAGTTTGATTTTCCCCATGGAAAGTTTGAAAGAAATGTTTTCATCAGATTATTCTGGTGGAAAATTCCCAACCAGTTCTAGTAGGCCTTGTACAAACACAAGGGAAGGGACAGCTTCTCCCCAAGTAATTAATAAAGTTAAAACTATTAGTAAATGTTAAAAATCATAATAATTTATATGGCTTTTTAGAGCTGGAACAGAATATAAGGACCTCACACACGGTAACTACATGGATAAATAGGTGTCATACACTGACAGATCAAGGGGAGTTATTACTCCTCTCTATTCACCACTGCTGAAGCTACATCTGGAGTACGTTCCTCAGTTTTGGGCCCCCCGCTACAGAAAGGATGTGGACAAAGTGGAGAGAGTCTAGTGGAGGGCAATGAAAATGGTGAGGGTGAGGCACATGACTTCTGAGGAGAGGCTGAGGGAACTGGTCTTATTTAGTCTGGAGAAAAGACAGGGGATTTAATTGCACCCTGCTGTAAAATGTGTGTTTTGTCTATTTAATATAGAATGAATATTGTTGAACCAGAAGGCTTCAACAATGAATCCTTGTTTCTTAACATTCCCCTCTTGCATCAGAAATCCATAGCCTGACACCAGTTTTCCTACAGAAGTGATTGTCCAGCTTCTTCATTCTTTTGGGCCACTCAGCGAGAGAGAGGAGGAAGACTTTGTCATAGACCATCATCCTTCTTATGATCACCCAAGGTTCCTCACTGCTCCTTTTACAAAATACTTTATGTTGAGGACTTGTATGTACATTTGTGTACATTTATATTTTGTGGCCCATCACTGGTCCAGGAAACATACTTTTAAGAATCACTGGGCCAGAGTGACAAATGAGACCAGAGAGTCACCCTCCCACTTAAGTCAACCACACCATCACCTGGACAGCCTGTCAGTCCTTTGTAATGATTTCCTAATCAAATGTGGACCCAGCCTGACTTTGCTTTTCTTGTCCAGTCCTGTGAGATCAGACCCCAGGCTGCAGTGGCTCCATATCAGGAACACTGCTTGAATTTTACACAAGTAAGGAGGATAAAAAACTTTGGTGTCTCAAGTCTCTCTTCTTAGCCTTACCTTTCCAGCTGGCATGTTGCTTTTCCCGCACCTTGATTTGTTGTGACTGAATGGTCCATGCTTTTGCTGATTGTATAAACCAGACTGAATCCCTGTCGCTAACTTGAACGGGCGGCTCACCACTTACAAGCATAAGATGTAAAGGCCAGTTACTGCATTTATTCAAGTGGAGTAAAAAAGCAGGTTTTATTTGACACGTATAAATCTACTTTAATTGGCTTTCCCACTAACTCTTTCATTAACGTGTTAATTAGCCATCTCAGGGCTGTTAAATTCTTTGTTGCACCAGCATATTGAATATAATAATATAACATCTTCTATTTTTTTAATGCCCTTAATATTTTCTGCTGAGATATGTCCATAAATAATCTAGTGCTACCTTTAAAAAACAAAACAAAACCAAAAAGTAGGCCGGGATGTTTTGATGTACCAGGGAAGAAAGCAGCCATCCTACTTCGGAGTGACTCACCTTCCTTTCAGTTTGTTGAATTGAGCACTTTAATAACAGACAGGCTTTTAAAGAAATGTGCTTGGAAAATGAAGGGGGAGGGGAGAGAAATGATTAGATAAAGGAAGCACTGCTTTGTCTACTGAATGTCTTTGCTTAGAATTCAACCCCAGAGATGAGAAGACTTAAGCAAGTCAGGCTATTAATAGCAATGAAGCAGTCGATTTTACAGTTCCCTAGACAGCCAAGAATGGACTACACCAATTCACATTTCTTAGAAAAGAAATTTTAATTGACATAATTTACAACAAAAATAAAGTTTAAACACAAGCCACAGACTTCTCAATTTTGCCAAATGTTTGAAATTATTACTACCCTGAAAGGGACTCTGTTCTTCTTTCAGTGAAATTACTATGCCTGAATCGAAACAAGCCTGGTGTAACTTGTAATTGCCGACTTGTAACAGGCAGCGTAAACACTTCACAAATTTGTCCCCAGTTGAATTTCTGTTTTGGGACTGGAAGACCATATTTGACGTTGTGGCTATAATCTCAGGTGTTTTGAGAAGCCTGAATGTTGGACTGGCTCCAAATCAGAAATGACATTGCTGCAGTGACCTTTTCTCCCTTGATGTAATGTATAGCCTCTGGTGGGCTCCCCACAGTAACTAATGTCCAAATGGAGCATTGGATAAATATAAGGAAAAAAAGAAGGCAACATTTGGAAGAAGATCTAGGACAATGGGGAAGATCTGGGAATGATGCTTTTCCTAGGCTGATTATTTCTGCAGCTAGAACTATGGTATTCTATTTTTATTCCCTCACTTTTTCAAGTGTTGCAAGAATCTTTAGGTAAAGGGCAGGCTTGTGGAATGTGCATTATCCAGCCTGGCTGGTCTGTGCTGTCACACAGCATCAATCACTAAGAAAACACTAATTAAGAGAGGAATCGGATGAATTCTGAATTTCCTTTCACAAACTATTCCGTTAATGCTCCTCATAAGATGCAATCAGTTTTCCATAAACTCTTGTTTTACAGCTAATCTTATGCAATGCGGCAACATATGAGCAATAACTGTATTTGAGCATATGAGCAATAACAGGCACTCTTATTCTTCCACACTGACATCTTGCTCACTGCACCAATACTCTGCCTTTATGTTTGAGAGACAAGTCTGGTAGAACTTGACTCCCAAGCCTGTTCCTAGTTTTATGTTCTGGTCCCTGATTATTTCCCCACTTGGGATCTCACTGAAATGTAGTTCTTGGCTCACGTTTATCAGATTTGCCTGTTCATTTGATGCAGCTACCAATGTCTCTCTTCTCAAAATGGGTGAGAGGAATTTTAAGCTGCAAAATGCCTGATGATATTAAGGGCAGTCAGAAAGCTAGCTCCTGCCATGCCGCTGGCTGATCTACCAGTGATCAGCTGAAGTGAATATGGAGGGCAGTAGGAGGGTGACAGCTGTACATACAACTCCCTCTACCAGTTTTGTTTGTGAGACGACAGTCCCTTCCAACTTCTCAGCATCGGTACTAATCTTTACCATCAGCAGCAGAAGTAAAATTAATAATCTGTAAGGCATGGTCTGCCCCTGTTACTTGTGCCCTGCCTCTCAGAACTGAGGGTCTCAATGAATACTCAACACAGCTCTCATGTACATGTACAAAGCCAATTTTTTACTTATCGGTGTTTATTATATCATTAGTAGTGAAGAATGAAGATGACACTTCCTTGCCACAGGGAGCAAGACTGTGACTAGTGCATAATCTTCCAGGATAAGAAGTTACATGCTTACGTCCTTTGTAACCAGCTGGGCCCTGCCCCTTCTCTCACCTGTGACTCTGTGCACAGTAAGTAAAGGCCACTGGAATGCACCTGCTAGCCCTTCACATGCGTGGTCCTTCCCAAAGTGCCAACCACTTGTCCTCTGTGCTGTTTGGTTCGTTAGCTATTTAGAATATGAAGGGGCTGAACAGAACCAGTTCAGAATGGGTGTTTTCCAAATGGAAAAGGAAATAACCGGAGGTCGCTTTTAAATATGAACATACCTCACATTAAAAGAAACCATGCCCTTGCAGAATAGCTGCCTGAGGTATAACTATTAGTATTTCATACACTTGCATGGGATCCATCCTAATCCCCTGTAGGTGCATTTGGATGTTTTAGATTAAGAACGAGAATTTCCTTCAAAAGAGGGCATCTACTCTGCAACCTCCTGACCACTTACAAAAGGGTGGAGGAGTTCGGCTAGTGGGATAAATACTAAGAGATTCCAAACCTTGTATCCAGTTAAAGACCACAAGAAAGATGCATTTTAGGGCATATCTACGCAGGAACATATATTACTCTGATATGAATATATTCGTATAGTTACATCAGTGAAGCTCTCCATGAGGATACACTTACTCTGCAATAACTATAGCAATATAATTATTTATACTAAGGCTTACTTAAAATGATAGAAATTGTGTGGATTATAAATTACACCTGTAAATGTTTTTCTTGAGGGCTTTTCATGCCTCATTTGCCTCGTTGCATGCTCTTAAATATTATCTGTACCTGATATAATAATTTTTCAGCTGAATAAAAAAATAATTTAGGATAAAGTATTTTAGCAAGCTGTACAGTATTGCTAGATGTTATGCACTTGGTTTATTTCCTGGGGGAGTATTCTTTCTTTAAATGCAAAACTCATTTAAAACGTGGTTTTGCCACACTTGAGAATTCTTAAAGTAGAGCTCTGTATGCAAAGAGATTTGTATTTGTACCTAAGGTTTCTATAAGAGGAAAAAAATCTCAACTCTCAATTTGTATTCCTGTTCTTCAAGGTATTTCCATTTTGTTCTAAGACAAGCAGTGTGTTCAGCGTCTCTGTTAATGTGCCCTTATCTTCATCATCACTAAACGTAACCCAGTGACTGAAATCTGAGCCGGGGAGTTTCAGATCTTTGGGAGTGTGGACTGGAGGAGTACTTGGTACAGATGGTGTGGGATGAGGACAGGGAAAATCAGTGTCCAGGTCCAGAAGATTGGTATCCTCTGTAAGGGAGCTGGTGTCTAAGAGTGGCGGCTGCTGACTGCTTGTGGCAGGAGGGCCCTGTAGGTCAGCAATCAAGTCTGAAGGTGTTGGTGTCACACACTTGGTGCCATCGTTTTGAGGGCTGGCCATGACCATCAGGGCTGAAAAATCGGACTGCCTGGGAGAGAGGATGTCTGAATCCTGGATGGCAGAAGGACTGTTGTTGTTGTTGAAATTGAGTGATAAGCCCCTGAGAAGCGGACTGTTACTACTCTGGAGCACGTGCAGGTGGAGAGCAGCAGGGGCAGACTTCTTCCTTCTTGGTGGGATCTTCGGGGCAAAGGAGGAGTTGGGTGAATGCAGCATGTCTGCCTCCAGACTGTCTGGTGAGGGAGGTGGCCTCTCACTGCTCTTCCTTCTCTGAAGAATTTTCCCAGGCTGTGTTGTTCTCGGCTTAGGGACTGGAGTGACTCTTGTGGGGCTTGTGATGGCGCTGGCTTCGAGACAAGGATCTGGCAAGCCAAAGGGAGGGTGGTTTGTCTGCTGGTCAGACTGCTCTTCTGGAGACATGGTCTGAGAATGGAGAACAAAAGAAAGAGCAGTGTTTTAAATTCAGGCTTGGTGACAGCATGAGACCTGCCCTGGGGTTGGGAGGTTAATCCAACAGGGAGTGCAGTAGAAAAGACCTGAGTTCTACTGAGTGACTTACTGGGGGAAGCAGGGGAGGTTGAAGACACTGAAAAAGATCTGGACCCAGAGCAGGCAAAACAGCAACTGCTTTAGAACAGATGCTGCTCAGTTCTCTTCTTCAGCGTCACTCTAGCGTACCAGTATTTAATGTTTTATGTGGGGAATTAGGAACGTATGTCCTGTTCACTCTGTGTTAAAAATACATCCCTTTGTGACCATTCTCTTTCATGTTAAGTTTTGCTTGGGGGCCAGATCTTTAGTCTCTACAATTCTGATGCGCTCTAAATGTCAGATCCTTTTACTGGCTCTACTGTTGAAGTGCTAAATCATAAGGCTGAATTAATGGGCATTAGCACAGGCCCTCATGGGTCTCATGATATGTGAGGCTTAAGGGCAATTAGTTTCATCTAACCCAGAGAGTGTATCAGTGGCTCCTCGTAATTCTGATGCTAGGGTTTAAATCTAAAAATACATTCTCGATGTGGAGTTTATCACTTTTTTCAATACCACATATCCCTCTTAGATAAAACCTCAAGCCCAAATTACTTTAGTTCCAGCTAATTACATCAGGATAGCTATTATTTCAGACTTCCCAGTCTCGATGTTGCTAAGTGAAACCACTTTAACTCTTAACTAGTCTCCTGCTGCATAGAAGGGCATGAACTCAGATGTTGTAATGTGATTCGAAATGCATCTTACATTGAATTCAGGATAGTTCTCCTTTGCTATTACATTGCTGTATTTGACTCGATGCATTTCCTCCTTGGGTAGGAGAAATGGGGAAGGGGGGAGATCCCTTTATAGTAGTGTAGGTGCTTTCACATAACTAACCTTGAAATACCGGAAGCTTCTCTCTGTGCTCTTTCAACAATGCTTGGTTGATGGGGACATGGGGAAACAAGACTGTTCCTTAAAATGTATGCATAGGGGAAAGGGGATGTCTGTTTCGTTTCCACTTCTTTTTTTTCTCTGTGGCTGTGTGCAGTGGAAAGCTGTTTGAATTCCATCTCTTAGGGGATGCTGTATGGTATCCTTCAGTGTGAGGTGAAATAGGAGCCTAAAGACTAACTTTCTGGCAGTGGGCCAGAGAGAAGATTGTGAAGGAATCTACCAGTCCAGGGGTTGGCAGCACTTTTGGCTGGATTGGCCAAAAACACCCCAAACTTGACCCACCTCAACTTGATGTGCCAGAGGCAGACGGTGGGAGAGCCGCGAGGGGCCTGATTCTCAATGCTGGCTGTGGGTGCACGCGTGCCTCCGGGTGGATGGCATGGGAGGAGCCAGGGTTGTGCTGCCCCAGCCCCTTCCCTGCCATGCACCCTGAGTCATGTGTGTATCTGCTACTGCTACGGAGCTGGTGCTTGGGCTCTGGACCCTGGTGTGGGTGTTTGCAGCCTGCCTGTCACCTGCTGCAACTGCCCAGAGTCCATGCCGACTGCGGCAGGCAGCTAGGAGGCTGCAAATAACTGCACCAGGCTCTACAGCCCTGGCACCAGCTCTGTGGTGGCAGCAGCTGCACACGCGCCTTGGAGCAGATGGTGGGGGAGGGACTGGGGTTGTGCTGCCCAGGGCCTTTCTCAGCTGTCTCCCCCAAGGCACGCATGCAGCTGCAGTCACCACACAGCCTGGTTGGGGTTCTGGAGCCTGGTGCAGCTGCCTGCCAGTGGGCAGCTGCTGCCTGCCACAGACACTGGACTGCTTGCAGCAGGGCTTGCAGCCTCCCACCTGCCTGCTGCAAACAGCCTGGGCTCTGTGGCTGGCGGCAGCTGCCTGGGGCCCAGGTCAGCTGTGGTGTGTCAAACAAAATGACCTCACATACCATGTTCTGGCACACGTCCTTGGGGGTTGCTGACCCCTGTACCAACCTATGGTATTTATACTGTCTTCATTAGTGTGGCATCAGGGCACACTCTCGTGCTTTAATAGTCCTCTCAACAATGCTGTGAGGTGAGGGGGCATGTTTTATCCCCTTTTATGCTATTTTACAGGTGCAGGTCTGGGGTACAGCTAGCCTATGCAGCAGCTTCAATAAACCCTGGAGCCCAGGCTCCTTATATGGTGCATGGGGACAGTTAAATCCAGAATGGCCAATACGTGAGGCAGAGAAGAGCTTCAGGGCAGCATAGTCAGCGAGTGGGTCCCTACAACTAGTTAACAGGGAAATACCAGGGATAGGGATAAGTGTTTACATCCCATCTCCTAGGTACCTCACTCAGGGTTTCTAGGAGGTGCTGCCATCCACAGGGGGCCCATAGCTCAGAGGGCAAACCCACCCTTTCAAAAGACTAAGAGCAACTCTCTTCTTCCTTTTAAAAAGGTGGTGGCTGGGGAACCTGCCACTTGTATAAAAGCCTCATAGCTCCTAGAGTACTTGCTGGGAAACTCTAGCCTCATGTTTAGGGTATTTGCCATGGGACAGTAGCCCTGGTTTCCTATCCCCTGTTGTTCAGGGTTCAAACCCAACCCACAGAGTCTTGTTTTGAAAGGGACCCTTTTCCTTACACAAGAACAAAATTAGTTGTGAGAGCTTTATTTTGAAAGCACCTTCTGCCAAAAATCCTCCAAAGATTTCCAAGCACCTTTGTCTTCACTTTGCATAGAGGTGAGAACTATTAAGATAAGATTCTTCATATGCCTCAAAACCCCCCTAAATCTCACTATTTTAACAGACTGAGAATTTCCTCCTGGTCTGTCTGAAAGAAATGCACTTATGGGGTGTTTCCAGATGTGGTGTGATCAGTAGAGCAAAATCTAGAAATGAACACAGGAATGAGGAGTCACTGCTTTGGGAGCTGGATCCTAATGGATTACCTCTGAAAATAAAATAGGGAAATGCAGAGGCGATGTAATGTCAGAGGGGACAGCAACAAAAAGAGGGGGATGGACTGAGGAAGAGCTTAATAAGGGTAGCTCCGTTTAGTGACAGCTTGTCGAAGTGCCTGATGCTGGTCTATGAATATCTCTTTTATATGGGGTTCATTTATTGTGTATCTAGGTCACAGTGACTGCAATATGCAATGACAGTTTGGCGACATCTGGCAAGAATCAGTTTGAGCTCAAATGGCAGGACTTCATGCAAACTGTTAAACAGCCTGCCTCTCCTGTGCATAACAAAGAGCGGGATGAGCTCTGCTGCAGCTGTCTTACATTTTCCGATTTGACTCCTGTCCTTTGCAGAGGCACTGGCTTCTTAGCAGTTGGAACTTTGGGTGGTGGGCGATGGGGCACCAGTGCTGGTCCTGGTTGTGACCCCTGAAAGGATGCTGACTTTGCAATGCTGGGAAGGGGTTCTGGTTTAGTGACTGTTTGGGTTCTTAGTGGAACAGGCTTCAGTGCTTCCTCTTGTACTCCTGAAATGGAAAAAAAGACAGCCAGTTGTTTGAGGCCATCTGGAGTGTAGCATGAAGAGCTTTTTCTTTGGCGCGCGCGCGCGTGTGTGTGTGTGTGTGTGCGCGCGCGCGTGCCCTCACTATTAAAGGCTTGTTCTTCAGTCTGAAGATGAAGGTTTTGGAAATTAATGTGTAACTTTACCATGCACGTCAATAGGAGGTTTAAATTCATGAAACCAGTTAGCAAAAAGCTTGTGTGTCCCTGCCCACAGTACTTCAAGCCCACACATTGTGTTATGCTGGTGTGTGTTGTAGCACTTAAGATGTTGCAGCTCGGGAGAGCTAGGCTCAATGCCAGAGTCTGCCCAAACCTTGGTAGGTGACACTGAGCAAACAGCTTCTCCTTGTGCCTTAGCTTCTGCAGGAGATAATTCGAAAGCATGTGGAGATCTATGGATGAAAAGCCCTGTGTAAGAGGTAAGTGGTTGTAGAGCATGAAAATCCTAAAGTGAAGCCAGACAATTTAGTTCTCTTATCCAAGCCCAGGCAAAATAAAAAAGACTTCTTTTAACTTAAATGACAACTCTGCTCTGACCAGTCCACATGCCAGCAGCATCACAAGGTTCCACGACAGTGGTCTCTCTGACTGCAGATTACGTTTGCTCAGTTTTACAAATGGGGAAATTCTCACTGCCAGCAATGCATATGGAGGACAGGATCTGGGAGTCATGCTGAAATCCTTCTGGTTTATGCTTCCTCAGCAATGGAAGCCCTTCACTTGCAAAGGACTTAGTTAATACTTTAGTTGCTGCATGAGCTCCCTTAAGGGTGTGCTGGCTTTGCACTGCTGCCTGGCACAGTGAATAATCCTGTGATTTAAACCCCTCTGTGAATTCCAAGTTGCAGGTAATGCAGCTGTTGAGGAGGAAGGTGCCACTGGTACCCAGCCATTTCTCTGAGGACAGCTGGACCTAAAGACAGCGAACATGAAACAACCATGTCCCAATCAATCACATGTTGTTTCTACAGTGCAGTTTCTTTCCAGACATCAAAAGGGAATGGGGAGCATAACAACTCAGGAGTGCATATCAGTTGTGACTGTTACCTATAGGAGCATGTAGAGGTCACAGTTAGAGTATACAGTTATTGATTGCCTAGAATAATAGAGAAGTAAGGCTGGGAGGGATTTGAGGCAGTCACTTGCTCAGGCCCTTGCTCAAGGCAGGATCATCTCTATCCACCTCCCTATCCAAACCTCCTCATACAAGTGCTTGTCTATCCTACTCCTAAAACTACATAACCTTGCTTTGCAACTACTAGGCATGTTGCCAAAAACATCAAGAACGCTCTCCCTGCCACAGGTAATGCAGGGGAGATGGGCATTGCCCATGTCCCACTGCTGCAAGGGCTGTTAAAATACACTTGAGAGATCCAAAGAAGAGGGCCATGCCCCCTATGTCCCCCTTACAGGAAGCAAAAACCCTTGCAGTCCAACCCAATCTGACCATGGGACAAAATCCTTCTTGACCCCAAGATGTGGTGATTGGTCCAAACTGGGCAGGGTGAAACATTGACCGGGAACATTGGGGCTTTAGTCCCAGCAGAGGGATTGGTAGAAAATCCCCAGCCTTGGCTGCAGCCGACACCCAATGTTTCTGATGAAGATGAAAAAAATACCCTTGACACCTGTAGTAACAGGAGGGGGGAAAAATTCCTTCCTGGCCCCATCTGGCAACCAGCAAGACCTCCACATCTTCCTAACCACAAAGGGGTGGGACCTAATTAGTTTGGCTCACTGGCATTCAGCTATACATATCTAAGGTGTTCTTATCTACAGATACTGCAAGGAGATATTTTAAAGAGTAGATCAGGTCACTTTATATAGAAATAACTAAATCACCTTGAAACCAAAAGGCTCGTGTTATTGAAACAGACAATAACCCTTCCAAGGGAAATCTCACTATAACCCAAAGGCAGGGTTTTGTTTGATTTCAGCTTTTGAAAGGAAATGAGTCTCTTATCTGGGTGGTAGTTGAGGGAGGATGGAATAAGCCTGGAGTTTTTGTTCTTTGGTGATTTTAAATTCCTGTTGGATAGCTCTGCTCACCTCCTTTTGCTTCCATTAGACATCTAATAGCTTCTTCTGCTTCCTGAGCTGTGGTGGTTTTGATCTGCTTGACATTATAAGGCTTGCTTATTCCAGTCCGGACTTTGGGCTTATGAGAATAAAGAGAGGAAAAAATAATTAGAGTCATCCTGCTGGAAAACAATGGTTCCGGGGCAGCCCTCAGATCTGCAAGCTGTGCACTGTAGTGTGCCGTGGACCAAGGATCAAAGCAGGGTGTTTTTCTTTTTGGCACAGAAAATCAGCTTCCCTGCTTGATTTTCATAGATTTTCATAGACATAAGGGCTGGAAGGGACCTCGGAAGATCATCGAGTCCAGCCCCCCGCCCAAAGGGCGGGAAGTCAGCTGGGGTCATAGGATCCCAGCAAGATAAGCATCCAGTTTCATCTTGAAGGTGTTCAATGAAGGCGCTTGAACCACCTCCGGTGGCAGGCAGTTCCAGACCTTGGGGGCTCGGACAGTAAAGAAGTTCTTCCTTATGTCCAGCCTGAAACGATCTTGAAGTAGTTTGTGACCATTCGACCTCGTCATCCCTTGGGGCGCTCTGGTGAACAAATGTTCCCCCAGATGCTGGTGGTCACCCCTGATAAACTTGTAGGTGGCCATCAGATCACCCCTGAGCCTGCACTTTTTCAGGCTAAAGAGCCCCAGGGCTCCCCATGATACATGCACCCCAATTTTGGGAGTCTGATGGGGGGGGCGGGGGTGCATGTTGTATGTGAAAAATACAGTATTGCAGTACAACTTCATCATGCCAAACTCAGACTGCATCAGTTGTAAGTGATATAAAACTTACCTGTCCTGTATGGGTTTTAACCATGCTCACCCTCTACTTCCCCAGCCATCTGAACCATTGGGATTTCAGTACAATATCAAGTTAATTTGGGCCAGCTGGCCTCAGCCCCCACCTGCTGTGGCCTCTCTGTTGGATGATTTGCAGGGGTGCCGTGTCTTGTCTACAGAGGCTAAATGTCTGCACAAAAGAGAAGCCACTGGCAAAAGGTTGCAGTGACTAAATCCAGCTAGTAGCAGATAGTATAAGCATTTTAAGGACAGGAATGTTTGGTTTTTGTAATGTATGAATCTTCAAGTTGTGAAGGAACCCATCACTTTAACAGCATGTGGCCTGCATGTGGTGTGCATATGCATGTGCAACATGCTTTCTTTGGGGTCTCTGATTCTATCTCAGAGTTACTGGGTCATCCCAAAACTCCACCTTTGCTGCTCTGCTCAGCCCACCTGCCTTAAGTTACATCACCTGCTGGCTGGTGTGATCAGACTATCTTTAGCAGATCATCCCCTTCTAACTGAGGTGTTTGGAGCTGTGATGATGGAGGACTCACTGGTTGCTGAGGTGCCCCTGGGAGAAGTTTTGCTGTTGCCAAGATGGAGCATAGGGAGTGTCCTCCTGAAGAGGTGGGAGTGTCAGATGGTGATTTTTTGACAGATGTTCCAGCTGCAAGGAGAACATGAATGAATTTTCAAACTTGGGAGCCAGTGTGGTGCTTTCTCTGTAACGGGATGAAGTGTGTACCTTGTTTTAAACAGAGAATGAAAGAACCTCTCACCCTAGAATGACCTAACTTAACACCAAGAAGACAAGAAAAGCTCTGTTTCATTCAGTTTTATTCCAAACATGGAGAAGGGGGTGAAAATGTTCCCTGCCAAGTGGAAAAGGGTAAGATCAGACAGCACAAAATCCTTTTAAAATATCCAATAGGAATAGTGCGCACTAAAGTTAAAACTAGCAAGTGCCATGGGAAATGCCCAACAGAGCATTTTCTTAAAACACTAAATCACTGAGAATAAATATGAGGATACCTAATAAATACTAGCCCCCAGGAAGCCAATGCATTGGTAAGGAACTTTGTATGCCATTAGAACTTGATTAAAGCTAAGAAAGGACTTTCATTTCAAGCATACCTTTCATTCCAGCCTATTTCACCTGTCATCGTGCTGCAGCCACCTCCAGGGGGGAAATGCAGAAAGTGAAGGCAAATATGCCGCTTGTCTTAAAAAAACCCACTGTCCTGTGTATTCACTGGTTTGACACTGGCAGCAACCACGGGCCTGTGTATTCACTGGTTTGACACTGGCAGCAACAGTGTGGCCACTGGGTTGTGCTGACAGAGGGGTGACTTTAAAAAAGAACATGAAATCTTACCAGGAGGGGGAGGGCGCTGTGGGGGCGGTGGTGGGCGAAGCCTGTTTGGAACAGACAGAGATCTGCTGGGAGAACGATGCCGGAAATCCCCACCCTCTTCCAACTCCTGCTTTAATTCAGCCAAGTCAGCATCGTCTAGGGGACAGTTCATAACAAGAAAAGGCTGTTTTTTAACCATCTGAAAAACTATGGTAGAGATGACCTAACCTGAAAGGTCAGGAAAAAGAGAACTGTGATTCAGATGCAAGACATGGTTACCCAACTAGAAGGCTCCACCTTAACAAGCCAGTATGACGCCCCTCTTTCATCTCTCTGTTTCTTACTGTGATGCTTGCCCTAGGCAGCACACTCTCCACCTTAGAAAACCCCCCACTCCTCTTCTCAAATATGTTCCTGTCACTGTAACTAGTGCCATTAATAGCTCAAGCTGAAACAACCCACCTCTGACTTCAGGGTTGTTCACCCTACTAGCCTGGGTGCCCTCTAGGCAAAGCCTTTAGTGCCACTATAGCACACTGCCAGCTCCCAAGAGCCAGCCACACTGATACACTGTGATTCGCACACTCTGATGAGCCGTTAGTGATGACTGCAGGGATCCTGGTTTTCTCTGATAAAAAACAATCCCCAATTTTCAGGTTAAAAAAGTAATCCAAAATCAACATTTTTCTGACTGAAATAAAACACCACTAATATATAGATAGATATATAGTGGTGTTACGTTTTAATCATGGAAAAATGTGAATTTTGGGTTACTTTTTTAAACCAAAAATTGGGGATTTTTTTTTTTTTTTAAATCAGAGAAAACCAGGATCCCTGGTAATGAGGACTAGTCACAGGCCAGTTCCTATGGCCTTTCCCAAGCACCTGAAGGCAGTCATGCTCTCAGGAAAGGCAAACTTGCCCCACTTGCTAAGTGGTCACAGAGCTTTCCCTGGCACAGAAGCAGGCCAGTCTCGTGGCTAACATGGAAGAGAACAACTGTCTGTTTTTTGGCTCTGTGCTTTTTAGCAGTGCTTTGGGCCTAGCATGTCTGCCTCTGCTTTATGTCCTTGGACTCTGCTATCAACGCCTGGCCTATTAGACCATCTTTCATCCTGCCTTGGCCTCTCTTTGACAGCTAGAAAGGTCAGAAGCAGAAACTGACTTTGTCCTGCAGGGAACAGCTAGCAGAAGCAGGAGCTTTCATTTCACTTTCCCTGTTTTTCTTCCTTGCCCAGTCAGGCAGCCAGTCCCAAAAGCTTTTGGTCTCCAAGGGGCATCTGGTTCAGTTTTGCCTTTGCTGGCTGCAGATGTGGGGGGAGGAGGGAAGGGGAAGGAACAAAGCAGAAAGTGCTCTCTCTTCAGGCATTTCTGCACAAACCTAACCTCCTTTTGTTTTACAGAGCCCTGCTCTGCAGGGAATATTGAGCTTCCTCATGATTTCTTGTACCCATGCAATACCAGAGAGCAGCCTCAGCGACACGGCTGGGAAGCTGCGCTATCTTGCCAGATGTTCAGAGCCAAGACCTGAATAAGGAAGGGCTTGCCTGGGGAAGACAGAGGTTTGTACCAGTACCGTGACTGAGGACAAAAGGCATGGTGGGGAATTTTGGCAATAATCTTCAGGCAAGACAATCACTCAGCAAAAATAAGATCTTGGCCAATACTTTTTATTGGGCAGGCTTAAGTGAGATCAGGCTGTGCCTTTGCTGACCTCAAAAACACAGACTGCACTGGTGCTTCCACTGTTGCTTTGGTTTCCATCTGTTTCCATAGTACTTGTATACTGTTGGCATCCACTGCATTAGGAGCAGCACAAGCATACTTGGGAGACCTTTGAAATGTCAGAGGCTTTCAACCCACATGTAATGTGTAGCCAGCCTGGATTTGGAGAGAGTCGGGACCCACAAAGCCCCAGCTGCAACCACCTTCCATCAAACTGTGCTTTGTTTACTTCATGAGTTAGTCAAGTGTGCCTTTGTACGGTTGAAAAGAATTACTGTGGTTCCCTGTGGTTTAATGATTCACCTGCACGCTGACCAGAGGTGTGCTTAGGACAACTCCCTGTGCAATGTGAAATGTCTGGTTTGATGGCATTTAATACACTGAGGCTATTTCTTGGCTCTAGGTCAGGTCACTAGGACTGACCAAGCTGCACTCAAGATAAGTGAAGAGAGCTATAAATCGCTGAGCACTTAGAACCCTGGTCAGCATGAAGTTATGAATTTCATTTGATTTTTATGAATTCTTTCTGACTGTCTTTAGCATAGATTAAAACTCCCATTTTATACTGGAAGACAGACCATGCCTCTGTAGCTGAAAGATCATCCTCTTCAAATGAATAGTAAAGAGGGGGACAGAAGAGAGGCAATGACCAGACTGTTTACTGCTGCACTGAAGTGTTCAACTTCTGGCCCAGTCTTACTGTGCTTGGCCACTAAAGTGAAGCCAGATCACAATCCAGGAGAGCAGCATTACCAGAAAGGCTAGCTCCAGATGTAATTGAGACCAGTGTTTTCATAGCTTCATATGGTTCATTTTAAAGACTTATTGCATTATAACATTACAACAAAACAGATGGACAGGAAGAAAAATACTGCACATTTGCAACGCTGCCTAAGGTGATCACTCCAAAAGCAAACAGACACAGAGCATCAGTAATTTTACATCAGGATGGTTATCCTTTAAATCAGTCACTAAGATAAATTTACCAAGTTATGTCAATAGCTTTAGGATCTCAACACTATGAAGGAAGAATACTGCACATATCCAAGGTAACACTGTAGTTATCTTGGGCAATGTGCAGGATTTTAAAGCTCACCATGCTTAACGTCAGAGGGTGACTGAGCCTCAAAATTGTCCCAAATAAGTAAAATGGGAGTGAAGCAGGGCAAAGAGGTTGGCTAGTCTTTGAGGTGACAGGAACTCCTTTGCAAGAGTTCATTGACTGTATTTCCATTTTTTCTGGAAAGTGCAGATTCTATTGGCTGTTGTGGGGTACATAGGTCTTTGTAGAGATGGAGAAAAGTCTTGAGGTTCCCCCTTGCCCTGGATGTGGGACACATGAGTAGGTACATATTTGATAGTCCCAGAGCAAATGGTGACCTGGGGCAATCACACTTCCTGCCCATTGTGGATCTTCCCTGACTGTCAACCATGCCTATTACATTAAGGCCTGTTCTAAAGCCCACTAAAGTTAAAGGAAACCTGTCAAATGCCTCCCAGATCAGGCCACCATTAACAAGAACATAAAGGACAATAGGGACAATTCTGTGGAGTATGCTTTAGTTCTATGTGATACAAGACCAATTTAAAAATGGCAGTAAGCCTACCTCTGTCTAATATGTAATACAGATAGCAAGGCACCCCTTTGAGGCACAGCTACCCTGTCCCAAACAGGACAGAGCAAAGGTGGCTAAACTTCCTAACCCTTTCTCGGCACAAACTAAAACTCTGACACAGTCAAGAGCTTCAGGACATATAACTTGTGAGATAAAAACCCCGGAGTCCATAACATGAGTACAGTGCTGAAATTCACATAATTTGTCATTAAATTACTTTTTTTAGGAGCCACATACATATAAACTGCCCGGGAGCTACCTTGCAGCTTGCAATCTGCAGGTTGGCCACTCCTGGCATACAGAAAAGTTCAGACTAAAGCATTATTAGCTACTACTTGTATTGCCATAGTGCTTGGGAGTCTCAATCAAGGACCATGGTTCCATTGTCCCCGATGCTATTTGAATACACAACAGAAAGGTGGTCTCCACCCTGGAGGGCTTACAGGTTAAACACAAGAGATGATGTAACAGGTCAACAGGGCAATGCCCATAGAGAGAAACAAGAAAATAATCTTTCAGGCCTGCTTTAAAGAAGCCACGTGAGTTACCTTTACACAGATGTGAATTCCTTCCCGTCAGCATCAGAGATTTGTTTGAAAGTACTACAGAGGCAAAATGTTCAGGGCCCTCAGGAAAGTCTTCTGATATCTCTGTTACTAGATGCTGAGGCAGCACATCATCCAAATACTCCTCCTCCTCATCTAATATATCACCTGAAAAAGATTTGGCCATAGATATTATGAAAGGCACAGTCTCTCTTTCTTTTTACTTCAATTAAAATGATTTTACTATGCAGGAGAGTTAAAGCTGAGCAGATTTCTGACTGATTACACGTTTTCACTGTTCTTTGTTTTGTATAGGGATCGTTCTAATGTACAGTGACTTTGATAGTTCATATTATAACACTGAGCACATGTGGCCAGGTGATATCTTCTCTCATCATCAAGGCTCTGTGTGATACAATGCAGGGTGAGGGTTTTAGCTATGAATGTGTTGTTTAGAGTTATTGTTTCATTAGAAATCATACAGGTCTGTGTCCCCTCCCACAAAATGAGAAAGCTGAATTCTCTTAACCCAGCCTATAATTGTGCTGCTGACCTTCTGATTCGTAGTCTAGACTTGAGAAGTCAAAGTTTTCCTCTAACAGACAGGAGTTTGCTGTAGGTGACATGGGTACAAAACTGTCTCGTTTTCGAGTGATTTCCTCCTGAAGACCCTTCAGCCAATCTTTAGTCTTGGGCCGGATCTTCACAGCTCTACCTTTAACCTAAAGCCAAGAAGGAATTGTTTCATTTTTAAGGAAATAAGAATAATGCAGAAACCTAGATGGCCTCACATTTACTTCAGAAGCTCAATGAAAAGGAAGCATTTCCCCTAGCATCATCAGGGAAAAGACCATCCTCTAGTCTTACGAATTAACCTTCCATGTATTAACTGAAGAACTCTGTTTTTTATTGGGCACACACTTACATTGTGGCTGCCTTTCTTCAAAGCATTTGTGTTGACATAAACCTTGCAATTTCTAGTGGCTCAGCACATTATTTATCATTTGAGAGCAAAATATAAAATATCAGAGAAATGATACTATACAGCTTTTAAAATGACTACAGAGATGGAATTTTCAAAACTGCCTCAGTGTCTTGAAGCACAAAGCGTGTGTTCATGCAAACATTTTGGAAATCTCACCCGAGACCTTGTAGTCTGATAACTAATGATAAAGGAGCACCCCAACTACCAGAAAAAAACAAAGCAAACCAAATGAAAACTAAATGCCCAGCTAACAAAAAAATGCAGCTACAGTCTTTATGGAAATATGTCGTGAAGTAGATTAGAATTGTTGCTACTGATCCATTTCATACTCAAATCACAATGGCACCATGACGCTTGATGCCAAAGAGGTTTTGTACTATATTAAAGAAGCATAAAGAGGACTTGGCAAAGGTGTTCCTCAGAGTACTACTTCAAATGACTAAATAGTCATAAAGTCCACATGTTCTGTAGCGATACCGTAGACTGGCTCCAGAACTTTGTTTCTGAGGGAGCTCCAAAAGAAGCAATGTCCTGTCTTCCTAATAAAGGACAATCTGCAAAATGCTAAGCCTCATGGCTATGGGATCCATGAGCACTGGAAGTCTTCAGTTTCCTTGAAAATAAAACTACCAATTTATAGTGCCTCACTATAATCTTAGAAACCCACCTTTAGATACAATGCATGCAAATTCATTAAAACAAACATGATATAGTTGTACCTTGATGCCATCTATATCCAAAACATTAAGAGCTGACTTGCTGTCTGCAAATGTTATCAGCATCTGACCTCCATTTATCCTAACAGGAACAGACAGAGAAAACAACAGTATAATTTGTGTTCCAGAAATACATAGTAGGCTTCACAGTGATGCCAATAATTTTGCATAGACAATTTTTTTTGCATTTAGCTTTTACTTACAAGTATGTTTTCTTTGTAGCAGGTAACACTATGTTGCCCAGCACTGTCTCTGTCTTTATACCCCCACCTCCCTCATAAAGACCCAGAGTGCATTTTAATGGTACACTGTTCCTGAGACAAAGGTTCATTGGTATGAGCAGAGGTTTAGCAAATATTGCATCCATCCTTTCATCTGTACCATTTCCCCCTTCTCTCTGCTTCAGCTGCTCTGGGTTAACACTACATAGACTGCATCAGAAAAAGCATGCATTCTCCTCAACCATTACTACAATGTCCTAAAGGTAACCACAGTGTCCTAAAGGTAAGGATTTCTGTGATATCTTTTATGGGACCAGTTGTATAGTTGGGAGAGCTGGTGAACAAGCTTTAGGGCACAAAGTGCCTTTCCTGTGGCCTGAGAGTCTACAGTGTTTTGTGAGCTACACAGAGGTGTGAAAAAGAGAAGCCTGCTGCTTTCTCACTCTTTGCTGCAGCTGTGTAACACATCAAGCCTTCACAGGTCATGTGGTCCTGAGGTCCTAAGACCGCTCCAGAACCCTTTTCTCCCTCTGGGGAATGTGTGAAGCTACAAAGCAGTGTCAAGCTGATAGATAATGTTTACCAAAAATATTCCCAATCACAAATAGCTCAACTGCCAGGCAACTTATTTCCTGGACCTGGTGTCCAACCATGTGCACTGTCACCAGGAGATTAGATTTGTTATATTCCACTATGGATGACAGCTTTTGGTGACCCAGCATGATCCTAGTTAATTGTATTCTGTAGCTGAAAAGTACTATGTAAAAAGCCTTCCATTTCAATGGCACCATGCAATCCTGCTAGCCTTCTCAAGTTTCTGCTGGGTTCTTTTCTCCTGTTGTCTTTCACAAAAGGTGCTGCGAATAAGGTAGTGCCAAGCTATGGCTGTTTTCCTTAACAAAGAAGTCCAATTGCTACCCTGTGCCCTTAAAGTGACGCCACTGGATTGAAACAAAACTTCCAGCAGGGTGCAAAATTAAACACCTGGCTTCAAGTTTAGTAGATTGAGGGGTCACAAAAGCCAGTCCCCAAAGACGAGCTAGTCCTCTGTTTTGGGCAATTTTTTTAGTGGGACAGTAGGAAACTGAGAGGTATCTAGCAAGTAATTATTCATCTCTTCTACTAATGATAAGACATTACAGTTTGAAATTGTTGTCTTTTTCCCCAGAGTTGATTTTATTTTAATTAGGATTTTTTTAAACAGACTGAATCCATCACAGAGTAAACACTTACCTGACAAGAACAATGATGCCATAATTCTCAAATATTTGCATAAGCTCTGTACGCAAGTCTTCAGGAAATTCGTTTTTCTCTTCAGGGGTTGGTGTCTGGAGATTGACCACAACGGTGGCATCCAGTGGTCCCTGGAAGGATGACACTTCCTGGAAAACACTCTCACGGGCAGCCACATTCACTTCTTGGACTTCCACTTCTACAATAGCTAACACGGGCCTAGATTTTGTACACATGCACGCACGCACGCACACACACACACACACACACACACACAGATATTTACTTTTGCGTTATTTCAAATAAACGTCAAACCACAGGATGTGCAAATGTTTGGGTATATGGACATTAACAAAACCCCCTTTGATGTGGGTAATCCCCACATTATACAGCCTGTCCAAGGTCACACAGTAAGGACCTCTCACAACTCACTTGCCTCTGAGGGCAGTAGTTCTAGCATCAGGTAGTATTTGCCATGACCCGGCAGTGATAGGGCACAGCCAAATCTATGCTTCTGGGAGCTCCTCCTCACCAGCTGTGCTGCCCAAATGCCAAGCACACCCTCGGGAGGTACCAGCTGTAATGGTGCCAGGGTAGCTGACAGAAGGCATGGGAGTACCTACATGTGCCCAAGCACCCTGACTCCCAGTTCATTGCTCCATGGGATTATTATACCTTTTTTTCCAGCAACAGATGAACCTGCCTCATGTGATCTCCCAGATACTAATTCCCACAATACTTAGCTAAAATAGAGTTATGACAATGTGCTGGAAGAGAGAGATCACCTGAGAGATCATCCATCTAAAAGGCACCAGAATGCTTAATACAATCGATTTTCCCACAACATCCCTGTGTAGCATGAGAATGCAGTTATTTCCCATTAGGGTTAATGGAGGTTAAGTGTTACATGATTCAAGGTCATGAACAATGTTTTTCTTTCTGGCTCCTAGTTTCTTTGCTGTAGCCCCAAGAACAAATACCAAGAGGACAATATACCTTTAAGTATGGGCAGCTCTAGGATTTTGAGAAGGAAGGTACAGATGGTATGGTGCATCATCACATATAACACAACAAACAATTATCTCCAGGTAAAAAGAAACTAGAAGCTTTACTAATGTGCTAGGGGCCTAGAGCTATATTATTCAGTTTAAGATCAAAGCAAAAACAAATGCCAATTTATTGGCATGTGCATTAATTTGCTATATCCTATGAATAAAAAAAATACAACAAACGAGGCAAAAAATAATCAAAAGATGTCCTGTTGTAATTAAATGCATAAAGTAAAATCTGGCCTTGAACGTCTTAACAGTACATCCAACGCTTCCTGAAAGTTATTTCCATACCTGAGTTGATGTGCACCTGAGTTTAATTTTTGAAGCCTGACTTAACCTTTTTAGTTAGACTTAAAAACAGCCTGCGGTGCTGTGAAACAGGAGCTACATAAAGAGGAGCAGCTAAGGGACAGCAGAACTGCAGAAGGGTAGTTTGACTAGTGGAACATCAAGACTATTTAAACAGGAGAGTGGTATTAACACCTGAGGAATGAAGAGTTTAGATGGAATCAGGTAGATTATAATGAGTCATGAAGTCAGGTGATTTCCTCACTGCTGCGTCAATAGAAATGTTGCTGCCTCTGCCAAGCAGTTGGTTTTAAATTTTTGATGGACCACAAATCAAAGGGGGGAGGGGGTGCAACTGCACCATTCCACCCCCTCCACCCCCCCGCCTTTAAGTATAAAATGCTTATGTAGTACAGACATATCAACTATATGCTCTTTGGTCATGAATCATTTCTTATGAGCTAGCTCTCCCTGTGTCATACTTAAGTTAACCAGAACACGCTGTCAAAAGGGCCAAGCCTTCACTTCTCTTTGTAGATGCAATCTGCATCCTCGAGATTATCCCTACAAATAAACTGTGGGCAGTAATTAGAACACTTGCACTTCTAGGAATTGCCACCTGCTACTTGCAATGTGGCAGGGGCTGTAATGTGCATTGCCAGCATGTAGAAAGAACACAAAAGTTGAGATAAAGGGAGTAGCAAAAAGGAAAAAAAACCCAAAACCTTTCTGCAGGAAACGTTAATTATTTCTGAAAACAACGTTGATTAGCGTATTTTGGTATGCTGAAAAGATACCGTGGAGCCTCTTTTGATAACATAAGCTTCAGAAAGTAAGCCTACTGAGAGTAATTAAAAAGTGGTGTTAAAAGCCTAGTTATTGTAGTAAGGTTTGCTGTAATTGGGAACTAAGGTACAACAGCCTTGCTTCAAAGAACACTGCATCAGAGTCTTTTATAATGAGTGCGGCAGTTCCATTGCGAGCTGTAGACCCCCGCGGTGTCAATGCCTTGACACAGAGAAGTTGTTTGTACGAAGAATGTTCTTCCATTGCTGGAGGAAAGCGAAGCAGCTCTCCTGTGTAACAATGCTGAGGAAGCACAGGGTCGGCTACTGTGATTCACTGAACACTGCTTGTTCAACAGTCTCTGCAAAGAGCATGCTTGGATACTGACAGAAGCTTGTTTCAAAACAGACAAGCTTTTGAGGCACATTTAACATAGCGAAATAATACCAAGACACCGAGCAAAGGAAGGTGATCTGCAATCACACTGACTCCTCTGAAGAAAAGTTAATAGTGTAGACCAAAGAGCGGTATTCGCTGTTGCTTCCTCTCTCTTCCCTTCTTCCCTTTTGTAGAGAAGCAGGGAAGATGAGGTCCTTGAGGGTGCCACTGCGTTCATTCACATCCACATCCCCAGCGTCCTGGCCAGATACAATGTAAGCCTCCCAGGCTACACATCTCAGTTGCCTTCTTTTTAGCAGAACGCTGGATTGGAGCCTTTCAGCAATGTGCCTTTAATTGACCAGAACTGTCAAAAAAATCCACTATCTGCTGTCTCTGCAGCTCTTCCTCACAATCACAGTACAGAGCAGAATTAGAATCAGGCCATTGGCATTGCCACCCTCCTATCAGAGTAAGCACATACCATTCATCAAAAGGAACTGTTTGCCTTTCACATCAAAGAGGCATTTCAGCATATCACACGCTAATCGGAGAAAGCTCATCTTAACTTAAGCCCTTACCTGTGATCGGAAGCCTGAAGCTCTGCTCTTCCATAATACATCAGGGCACCAGGAGTCCAAGTGTGTTTGATTTTAGTTTCAACACTCAGATCGCTGTCTAGGAGATTGATCTCTCCAGCTATATAGCACAAAACATCATTAGAGTTTACATTGCTGTAATAATGATTCAACCAATTTCAGAAAGCTGCATTTCACATAACTCCTTAGTCCTCTACCTAAAGGATGGCTTCTACCCTCAAGACCTGAGTTACAAAATATGAAAAAAAAAGAAAGTGAAAAAACAAACAAACAAAAACTATTAACTTGAACAAGACAAGGATAAAGCAGTAACTCAAGGGTCAGCTGATAAGAGACCTTTATAACTAGGTGTGAGAGTGTCTTATTAAAATATGACCTTTTTCCTCATTCTATCTAGCAAATGGAAACAGACCTAGTACCTATGAAGAATCTGTATTTTCTAATAATACACATGTAGTTAAGGGACACAAAAGAGAAATCCTATGTGGCCCTAAATGCTGGTTGCTTCCTCAAATGTTTTCAGGAATAAAAATAAGCGCTCAAGACAGGACAAGCACAGTGAAGAACAGTGTCAAGTCTGAGTTAAGAATTTATGCAGAATGAGGAGGGTGAGGAGATGGAGCCCCTAGTTGAGTTACAAGTCTTTTACAGCTAGTCCAAATGTTGGATTGATTGTGTAAGCAAATTGTAATATACCTGTGTGACAGCAGGGGGAGCTGCTCTACTAGCTGTATTGAACTGTAAAAACTCCTGGATGTATGAAAACTACAGCTTCTGGAGATTGTGGGAGCTGAGAGACAAAGGAGGAAACTGGAAGTGGCAGAAATCACAGGAGCATGGGCTGAACATGGGGGAAGCTGCAGCAGAACAAAGACACAGCAGCAGAGGCTAGCGTGGCAAAAGTGTAACAGAACCGGGACTGTTGAACTTAGCAGCAGAACTCGGACGTGCGAACAGCAGTTGAGCGCTCTCAGGACTGGAAGCTGGTTTGAGGCACCTCTGTAGGTATGGGAGGGTACCAGTTTCTTTGAGTGAAGATACCACAATGCTTGTTATCTGTTATCTGTTATTTGGCCATTAAGTGCATGCACTTTAATCTTAATGTGTATCTATTTGTATTTATCTCTCCGTATCCCATTGGCTTGTGACCCTCAACATTTAATATATGAAATTGGGAATTCTCCTTTTTGCTTCCTACGCCAGTTTCTGAAGTTGCAGAGTTCAGTACACAAGTGTTAAGATTTTAAAAAGGGCACTTGACTTCATTCCTATCTACAACAAACTCTTTGGCCCCTGGCAGACATTACATTTGTAGCACACTATTTGCGAATATTACACAACAAATCATAACATGCCAATTGGTCACGTTAAAAATATTGCCAGATACATCTGCACCACAAAGAAATTGCTGTTCAGTGTACACTACAACTTGAAAGAAGGGGAAAAGGAAATTTTTGAAAGAGTTGAGGGACAGTTTTTACAGTCCCTCCATCTCTCCATAATTGAAATGATATAGCAGTTATTTGATAGTCTGCAATAATCCTAAAATGGCTGGAAAGTATGCAAGGAGTTATTAAACATATACAGGAATGTAGAAATATGGAAAAAAGGCTGAAAGGATGAGAGGTAGGCTCCTAAAGCAGGGATGAGTTTACGAAAGGTAGATCATACTAGATTAATAGCTGTCTTGGACAAGATAGCTGATTCTCTAGCTACAGGAAGGTCTCTCTCATCTATGTGGAGTTTACCAAAACATCTAATATGCTGCAACATGGGAAACTACTACAGAAGCTCAAGAAAGTGAGGATTTACTAGAGGAACAGTAAAGTGTTACAGGGGGAGACAGAAAAAGGTAGTTATGGAAAAGGAAGGATGAGGCTGGAGTAAAGTTACTAGTGGGTCTCCTCAAAGAACTGTCTTGGGTGGGCAGGATTATGTTTAGTATTTTCATTAATGACCTTGGTGCAGAGTATAGGAGGCTGCTGATAAAATTTGCTGATGATATGAAGTTGGGGGCTTCACTCACCCAAAAGAGGATCAGCATAACATACAGAAAGGAATGGAGGCTGTTGAGGATTGGATTAACAGACACAGCATGAAATTTAGTAGCATAATATGGAAGGTCATATACTTGAGGCCTAACAACAAAATCTTCTATCAGTTGAGGTGGAGAAAGACCTCAGATAATCAAAGGATGATAATATGAGCCTCCAATGTAATGCTGTGAATGAAAAAGGCAAATGCAATCCTAGAGTGCATCAGAAGAGGGACTTCCAGTAGAGGGAGATAACAATGACACTGCATAAGGTCCTGGGACACCCCCTCTAGAACAGTGTGTGCAGTGCTGGTCACCCGTGTTCACAGAAGATGAATTCAAACTGTAACACGGGTAGAGAGGGCTACTAGGATGAGAAGAAGAATGACAAGCCTGTAAGATAAGAGGCTACAAGTACTTGTTTAGTGTAAAAAAACAAAGGCTAAGAAGGGGTAAGATTGCCAGCTATAAAGTCATTAGTGGGAATGGTGAACAAGGGACAGTAAAGAACAACTCTTTAAGCTCAAGGACAAAAGTGGTGCAAACTAACCAGGAAGAAAATCAGGCTGGAAATGAGGAGGAACTTCCTAATCATTAGAGCACTCAGTTTTCAAGGCAGCCTTCTAGTCGGAGCTGCAGGGGCAAAAAATCCAAATGCTTATAAGACGGAACTCATTAAGACTGTAAAAGGTGCTCTGTGACATGATGCCTGACTTAGGAGCAAAAGGTCTGGAAGCAACTATCAGGGTTTCTGGGGCACATTGGCTCCTTTCTCCTCTAATCCAAGTACTATTTACCTGCTATCTATTTTTTGACATTTCCAGGAGGGCACTTTATGCTCAAAACTTGTCTAACATCTCTCCTGACTATAAAGTCAATCTAATAATTTGTGTGGTAATAAAGGCTATTACCACACAAATCATGCTTCTTGCAGGTGCCCTGCATTATGCAATTACAACAAAACTACAATACAACAATTACAAAACCTCAATTCCTAGGTGTAGGCAGCCTTGCCAGTATTTGATCTTATCTGTCTCTCAAACTGAAGTTCACATCTCACTACCCCTTGTTCTTAGCCTTACTACAGTTGAATTGCTTTATAAGACCATGTCTCTATTTACTGTTCAAGTTCCTATTTATTATACTACCAATTTTTCAAGTAAACAGGAACTCTGTGATGTTACAATGAAGTGAACTTTCTCAGTAACCTAGCTTTGCTTCATGCTATTCACCTTGAGTTGACCCTTGTACTTCACACAGGCACAGTTCACCTTTGCATGTACAAATTGGAAGGCGTCTCCTGCCACACCTCCTTTTGCAGTGCACATGTAGTTTTTACAAATACTAATGGATACATATGCAGATTTAGAGGCTGGCAAAAAAATATGGCTCTAAAGGCAAAGAGGTTATTCATTTACTGCCTTAGTTATTACAGCTTTTAAATAGCAGGCATAATAATGTGTGGTATTTCTATGGTACTTTCCACTCAAGGACCATGAAGTACTTTACAAGCATGAATTAATGAAGCCTCACAACATTCAGTAATTATTATGTATTCCCTGTTAATTTATGGAAAAATCTGAGGCATGAAAAGCTTTAAGCTTGCTCACAGTCCACACTGAAATAAATAGGAAGAGGAGCAAGTTATGCTTAAGGAGGTATCTGCAGTGTTATGGAGAGATATCTGAATCAGCTTTCAATAAGCTACCTCAGGTACCATAAGCAGTCTATCTGTGGCAGCACAGAGCTCACCTTTGGCTAATTTACCCTGCTTCTGGATTTTGCAATGTATGGTGAGTCTTTGCTGCTGTGGCTAGGCTACTTGGTTATCTCTATGCTAAGCCTCAGTCAGAAGTTCAGACATACCCAACATAGTATGTTTAGGACTAATTACAAAGAATTTCTTTGCTCATAGACGCCAAAAGCAGTACCTGACCTGCACAAATGAGGTGTCTGTACTTTGAAGAAGGAAAGAATGAAGAGAAGAACCAGGAATCAAGCCTTTACTTCTTCTTTAGCTACTTTACTAAACTCTCCCCCGCTTAGGTCCTGTATGGTCCAACTACTCAGGAAAGTAAAAAGCTAAAAATGAGAAAGACCCTACACACCTGTTTTATCAAAAGGCAGTTTCTTTCTCCACCAAAGCACTCGGTCTGTCCAAGCAGGGGTTCTGCACTTATCGCTTGTATCATAAGCTTCTGAGCCAACATCATATTTATAGGTTGGTCCAAAATTGATTGTTCCTTCATGAAAATCTTTAAAAATCTATGAAAAAAAATAGGTTCCTGCTTATGGAAGTGTTGTTATGACATAGTTACTTGCAGGAGTGTACTATTTTGATTTTTTTTTAAATTAATATGTATGTCCACAAGCAGACATCTGAAAATTCCCTCATTCTCATTCTTAAAGCCAATTAGCTATTGACTTGGATACTGAGAAAAATGGTGATATTGACAGTAGAGCAAATGGACAAAGCTCCTTACTTTTCCACTGGATTTCTGCTGTTGTAGTTGATCAAATTCAAGGAGTGTTTTCCAATCTTGTCGTTTAAGAAAATAAAAGACTTCTTCATATGTCAAATCAATGCGATAGTTGAAATCACCACACCAGAACACGTAGTCATGGGAGAACACATTTCTTCCCTAGATAGGAAAGAAATCATGTTAAAGTCATTATTTTGTACATTTTTGTTTATCAATTGTATGCAATTTGTATACGTTTTATACAACTGAAATATAAAACCCAGTCTTCTTGAAGTAGTAAATATTAGACAGCTTACCAAATGTTGTTTGTTACATGAAATTCATGCTAAAGAAGTGGTGCCTATATTTCTTACTGTGTTCCTTTACCTTGAAATTTATAGATCAGATTTTCAAATTACAGCCTTTATTTTTGCAGGCACAAATGGGGTTTTCTGAAAATTTCAGCCACACTTTATTAGATTTACATATAGGTATTCTAGATGTTGAATCCTCTGGTTTTCTAAGACATTCAGGGACTCATGTGCCTAATTATCTAAACTGCAAATGCAAAATGCTCTTGCTATTGTATGAACCCAATGAAATGGACATCTTAGTTAAGGCCAGGCTAAAACATCTCTTCCATATCTATATATCATATTTTTATAAATGTTTAAGATGTATTATAGGTAACTGCATTTTTTCCAATCAAGTTATAAACCTTGTATACGGAGATTCATAAAGAAAATGCTCCAAACCTGTAGATATAGTATCACTAGAGGGCACTGTTTATATATATATAAAACACAGTGTGCACAAACATTGTAAACGTACAAGATATAAAACAGTTAACGAGCTATTAGAAGTAAGGACACTATAAGCATGACTTTATGGCTATTTAGAATGGATATTCTATGCAGAGCTTCAATACCATCAGTATTATTTCTAACATAAACTGAAACTGATTGATATGCTATGAGCGTGAGGCTTTTTAAACCTTGGAAACAACAGGGAGTTAAATTTTATGCTCTTCTACCTAAATGCTTTGCTGACTTAACAGAATGAATAAACACTCTCACAAACTGGTCTTCTCTCTCCCTGGCTTATGGCTTCTCTGGAGATGCCTGAGAGAAACAGCAGTTATGGAAATCTAAAGCAACCAATACTAATACTGGAAACAAAGGAGCACAGTGACAAAAATCTCACAGATCACTTCCTGGCCTTCGACAAAGGCAAGTATAAAGTACTAGTGTGACGGATGGATAAAATACCCAGCCAGAGAAGATCATATTCAATATTAATTGTCCAACTGTCTTAGAACATCTGCTTTTTTTCACCTTCTGGCGGCCTGATCCTGCCACACCTAGTTCTCTAAATATAACCATGGCGAACCAGCGTCTGGTGAAGTATGCTTTCAACCTTGTTTGCTTTCTTTTTCTAATTAAGTTCTTTTATGTGGCTAGTCCATGACTTTGAACTGAGTCCTGAAGGAACCTACCAAGACAGTATAGACTGCAATTGACTCTCACACGGAAGAACTTAAGGACATGGTTTTTGCTTCTTGTTGGGATCAATTCTGGTGTAGAGTCAGCCTGGTCCTTACCATTGGGAAGCTGAGTTTTTGTGTGATCTCTTTGTAGTCTTCATTCCTCTCTTTCACTTGAGACTGTCCAGCAGTTAAGTGACTGCAGATGAAGCAAAAGCTGGTACTGTAGAACTGGAAGCGGATGCCAACTGCCCCTTTATTTCCAGCTTTCCCTCCCATCCCTGTCTTTACTGTGTCTATTGCCACGTCCCTGGATTTAAAAAAAAAATAGAGGGGAGGGGAAGGGAAGGAAATGTTAGTTCAACTTCAGTTAAAAGCGGAAAGGAAAACGTTGTCTTAGTAAGAACAATGACTTTCCCTCCATTTACTGAAGAATGTAAAGGGAAGAGAGTGTGGTGGTGTCCAATGAATCTGTTAGTAAGCTTTTTGTTCTGATATTACTCTCGACTTACATCCATGTCCTGTTGTTTCAGACCACCAGTTAGACATTAATGAAGAAATACAATAATAGCTTTTAAGTAACTTTTCTCTTACCATCCCTCTTGTGAGACAGCATACTCTGCATGACCACCTGCCTGGATCTTTCGTAAGATTTACCTTTAACATTTGCTTTTATTGCTAGCTTTAAAATGGTGACAGTAATTAATGTTTACATTCCAGTACTGACAAGAATCTATATGGCACAGTCATCAATTCAAGCAGCATTACTAAGGGTCTACTCCATTTGAGATTTTGCAGAAACAACAAAATCCAGAATTGCCTGCAAAAATGATTTAAAAAAAACTTAATAAAAATAACATGCTGGATCCCCAGTGGGAGCCAGCAGTCCTCTCTGCCATGGACCAGCCTACTAGCCTGCCTGGGGTGTCAGGGGGAAGGCACCAGCTGGTAGGGCAGCACAAAGGGCAGCAGATGAGATGGTGGTTGCCCCCTCATCCCTCCCCTCAACAGAGCCTCTCCCCGAATCAGTGCCAAGGGGCAGGGCCGCACAAAGGGCAGCCAGCAGATAAGATGGCAGCTGAACCCACACCCCTCTTCCCCTGCCAGGACCTCTCCACCAATCAGTGCTGAGGGGCTTGACTGACAGAGTAAATCCAGAAAATATTGGTGAAATTTGCTCTTTATGCCATGACCAATAAAAAATGTTTAGTCTCAACACAATTTAAGTAGGTCCCTAAGCATTAGCATGCCTTGAAATAAAGGTTTTTGGTGGATACAAAGTTCATGCATCAATGAAAGTATCTAGCTAGCTAGCTGGGTGCAATAAAATTGTAGATGGTTTCACAAAAAAAATACATGTTGTATGTGAGAAAATATGGTATCTTCTCCCCCAAAAACAGCTGCTGGGAATTGGAGAGCACATTATATGCAAGTAACATGGTAAGAGAAGATTTTGCTGCTTACGGTGTAAAACCACAAGTAAAATCTCCAGCGATTCAGATGGAGCAGAACAATGAGTAGGACCTACTCCCTAGCTGCTCCTACTCAGTTAATAGCTACAAGGAATTATCTTTTTTTTCATTCTGCCTTTCAAAAATAAGGCACACATTATATTCCAGGGCATTGTCTTTTCTCACATACAGTACTCATACCTTGTCTACTGAACTGACTTCTGTTTTGATGACATAACCAGCTTGTTGCATCCATATTGTTAACTATATGGTATTTCAACTGGTCCATTGGTGTACCATTGTTTTACATTAATCTTCAAAGGGGCAACCTACTGGGCAAAATAACCACCTACTAGCCGGATAATTACACCCAGAAACACAGTATCCTCTGAGAATATTCTACCACTATCTGGTCAGATAAGTAAATGGTGAGGTCACAGGTCATGTGGTCATTCTTCACTCTAAAAAGAATCCCTTTGATACCACCGATCTATTGCATTATTGACTTGTATCCATCTAATATTCCATTTTTAGCTAAGGTCATGGGAAAGGATGTTAAGACAAACCTCAGTGTATTTTGATGCCTCAGATTTCCCTGACCTGCTTATTGCTTCAATATAGCTCAGTTATATATATAATATATTGTTAGTCCTCTCCTCTCTAACTCAAGTCCTAATCTTTTTCATCTCTTTAGCAAAGAAGCCTTTTTATACTCTGGACCTGTTTAAACTGCAAAAGCACGTGGCTAAATTTGGCTGTGCTCACATATCCTGTAGCAGCACATTAGCATTAAATAATGAAATCAGCCACCAGAATCAAAACCCTTCCTTCCTTTCCTGATTTTCAAAAGGCCACTGCTCTATAGCGGAGTGCTAACAGGTTGACAGCTGCAAATGAGCCAGTTTGCTGACTAATTCTGCTTTTGATGCCTATTTAATCACACACTTCCTCCTGGATTACTTCAATTTCTAGGTCATGGAACCCATAATCCAGGTGGCAAGTCAAATAGTAAAAGACATATTCTTCTCTGAACTATTTCTCACTAACAGAGAGTATAACTGGAGGAAAAAAACAAGAACGTACTTTCTTCCATTTTGAAAAAAGATTACTGAGAAGATTGCAGCAAGGAAACATTTGTGTCATCTGCCTGCCTACAGAATTTAGTATGACATGAACTGATCTTTTAGGTGGATATCAAGGTAGTGGCAGAGAAAAGGTAAGCATCCCAGCAACCTTTGACGGCTGGACTTAGGTACCTAGGCTAGGTCAGTCCCTTCATGCAAAAAGAAGAGGCAGGGGTGCCCATAAACAGCCAATGCCTGGTGATTAGAGCAGTCACAGGTGACCTGCGAGATCCAGTATCAACTCACTCCTTTCGCTGATTTGGAGAAGGATTTGAACCCAGATCTGCTACCACTTAGGAGTGTGCCCTAAACCCTGGGCAGCAGAGCTATTTATGGGCAGGTCTCTCTCAGTGTCCCCTGTTGAAACTATTCCTCTTTGTATCAAATAATGAAATATTGACTGGAGCAAGGAATGGGACCCAGGTTTCCCAGGCAAATGCACAAACTACCAGGCTTTAAAACAATTCATGCTGGCCACACACCATAATTACTCATTTGTGAAGGTGTCACACTTTTGTACCTGATAAAAGGAACATGATAAGGTCGCACAAAGATGAAGAGACAAACACCAACAAGCTGTGCTGACGTCAGCTGGATGTACCGGTGAGTCCTAGAAATTGCTTTCTGAAGCTGCTCCCCCCACATCTTCTTATTAGTTGTACTAGAACAAAAACAATTACTGAATGGGCTAGACAGAATCTATTACATAGAATAATGATAGTAAAAAATACTCTAAAGTCGCTTTCTTTACAATGTTTCTTCTCTCTATTCTTACACCATGAGGCAACAAGATGAAAGCCAGAACAGACTTCCCGAGTAGGAGGTGAGAGAGAACCAATGGATAAGCTTCTGCCACTCTCAGTTGATGGTGAGGTTGCTGCATGTACAAAGACTTTTCTCTCCAGACACCCTTATTTTTCTTGCCCTCAAGGTCAGTTGATACATGTAGATGAATAGCTAGCTCACCAACCATGTTAAATGCAACTGTAGCTTTCTCTCTCCTAAAAAAGACATCTCACTGGTATGCCAGAAGAATCATTAAGTGAAACACCACCTTCCTGAGGTCATTTTTGTTCCTTTCCCCTTGAGCCCTCCTTCAGATTTAAACAGGCCTATCATTGACCAAAGCCAACCTACATATACTGACAAGCAAAGTTCAATCCCTGCCTTTACCCTAACAATACTGCTCATGAATACACACATATGTACATACATACTTAATCACTGAAAGAGAGAGAGGGGAGAGAGAGATGAGCTCCCATTATAAAATTCCACACTAACATTTTAATTAAATGTACAAACTACAAGAATTTAGCATTCCAATATGAGAGAGGGATATCAAGAGCAGTGTTAAAATAGTGCCCTGCACAGGAGTCCAGTTCTGTTATTCCAGATATTGTCCTAAAAGGCTTAGAAACACAGAAATACATGCTATACATATATGTACACATATACATACACACACACACATATATACACACACACGTTATATATAGAAAACAGAGAGAGAGAGCGCGTGTGCGTACGCATTTTAGCAGTGATCACTTCAATTGTTAATGCTGAACACATCTGCATGCATAATGCCTATATACAAAGGTCTCAGAAGGAAGTAAACAGCAGAAGACATAAAGCATCACTCTGCTTTTACCTACCTGGCATTTACAATATTCCCTGCACTTAGTTCCACCATCTCTTCAAATCCCACAGCAAATATATCAGGAGGGCAGGACTCGTCATCTGTGGGGAGCGAAGCAAAAATCATAGAAGATATGTTACTTTATTCCATTGTGTCATCTAATTGCGTGCTTTCCATTTCTAATTAATATCAAGAAAATCCTATAGTTCATCTTCTGTATCCCCCGCCAAACCATGTGTATTTATAGCCCTTTTATTCTATCCTAACAAGGAAGCCCCTGCAGTTCCTTTATCCTTATTTTGCTTCTTTCCCTTCAGTGGGTCTTCCTTCTTGGGGAAGGGCCTCTGAACAGAACACTATGCCCTCAGGGTGGTCTCAGCAATGCTAAGCCAAAGGAGACAGTCGTCCCTGATCTATCAGAAGGTAACAATTGTGCATGAATCCAAAGAGTTAATAATGGCTCACCATACTCAAGAAAATCTTACACATTGTAGGATAATACCCTTAGGTCTTTATCCAGCTGTTCCTATTGTACAGAGCAGTATGCTCCTTCCTCCTCCCAATCCTCTGGTAAACTTTTCCAGTACTTTCAGAAAATCTTGGGAGATTCTTTGCTAACTTCTTCTGCCCTCTCAAGAACTTGCATCAAGGCTCTCCATATTGCCACCATCAATTTGTGAAAGAAAGAACATATGGATGAACCCTTACCATTATGCTCTATGTCCCATAATGTTCTCTAAGTACATGAGCTGAAGGGGGAAGCAGCAGTGCTAAACAACGTACCATATTTACTCAAATCCAAGATGAATCGTCTCCCTTCCTCCCATTTAACACAGTGGGACACACACACACACACACACACACACACACACACACACACCCTTGTCTTGGATTCGAGTACAAGTGGGGAAGCAGGCAGCTGCTGCAGCTCTGACTCTAGCCCTGACCCAAGGCTGGAATCGGAGCTCCAGCTGCAACCTATGCTACTGGCTGCCTCTGCCCTCTCACTGCCTCCCCACCCACACCTGCTTGCCCTCTTGCTATAGCCCCGCTCCAGCCTAGAGCACAGACCACATGGTTCCTCCAGCCTCAGCTCTGGCACCTGGTTGGAGCTGCTGCTGATGCAACAGCTGCTGCATGGCTGGGCTGAGGCCGGACCAGACAGATACTCTGGAGGTAAGGGGGGGAAGGCAAAAGGGAGGCATAGGCGGTGAGGAGGTGGCAGGGGGCTGAAGTGCTAGAGGGGTAGACATAGGGAAAAGGCACCAGAGAGAAGGTGGGGAGGGGGCAGGAGAGTGCAGACATGGCGGGGGGGGTGTCACTTGCCAGGGTGTGCAGGTGTGGGGGGGAGGGGGAAGGCCACTTAATTCCTCCACCACCTGCCTGCCGATCCCCTACCCCCTGCCAATGCTTGCCCCACTGCAGTAGTTAGGGGACAAATTTAAGACAACCCTTCAATAATTGGATTCTATACCCAGAACATTATAACAAGTTTATAAATTTTCCATGTCTAGAATCTAATTATGGGGTGGTCATCCTAAATTTAGTGTTCTCTTGGATTCAGGTAAATACAATAATATCACTTCTCTTATCACCCAAATTCTGATACAACTCAAAAAGTCAAACAGTTATTTCTCATATGGTAGCACAGGGTGCATGCACCTGACCACCAGGTTCATCCTGTTTAAAAGGTTTTCATCCATCACTTAGCTACAGAGACCAAAACACTCAGGCTGCTTATTTTATAGCCACAGAGATGTCTATGACCTCCTATGTCGGGGCAACAGATGAAGGCAAGATAAGGACAAGTGGGGGGCAGATTCAGCTCCCTTAAAATTCAGAGAAAATTCCTTATCAGATGAGGTAACAATTTTGAAAGGTGTGGCTGGCCCAACTTGGAGTCTAAAGGGATGGACAGATACTACAATCAAAGCATTTCAAACATGTGAAATATTTCAAGGGCCTTTAAAACACACTAAAAATGGCTGAAACATTGCAAAACAGAACCCCTGGAAATGAAATACTATTTCAGAGTGGTTCACCTTTGGTTTCATCAGCACAAGGACAATGCCAGGCAGGGAGAGGGAGTGGGTGGACAGCCTGCCTGCTGTCCAGTCGCTGTTCCTGCTTTAGTGAAGCCAGGTCCCCACTGGCAGCCCATCACACCCAGAGTCAAGCTTACCTCTTCCTCTCCTAGACACCAGAGGACTCCAGAGACCTCCAGCCCATCCCCTCTACCTCTTCTTTCTTCCTCTCAAACAAGTCCCCTCTATCTCTTCATGTGGCTGAGAGGAGAAAAGAAGAGGTAGAGGGGAGCGGAGCTGGAGTGTCAAACTTCTGGCAGCTGGAGTGGGGAGCACCCTCCCACCCCTCCACTCGCCTATCCCCTCTCCTCCACCTCCCATCCCTGAGGTGAGGGGGAAGGCAAAGGAGAGCGGGGAGGGAGAGAGGGGAGCAAAGAGCAGAGCCACAGGTCACTGCAGTCTGTTCTAGCTTCCTATGCACCTCAGCCAGGCAACATTTCAGCCAGAGTTGTACGGGTGTCCCCTGGCTGAAAAGGTTCTTTTATGAAACGTTTCCAGGCGTGTTTCACTTGGAAATGTTTCAGTGGATACATCTGTCTGCCTCCTAAGCTACCTGGCAGTTCCTTTAAGACATCAGCAAATAATACCTATTTAAACACACAAGCACTGCCACTCCAAGTCTTACCCTGAAATTCGGAAACTCCAGAGAGCTTGGGAGAATCCAGCAACCAGTCTGTTAACTCACTGGTACCCAGGATGTTGCTTCTAAACTGCTTGCCTCCATTCACATTCCAGGTCCCCATGGCAACACGAATCCGCTTGAAGTTTGTAAATTCAAACTGACGCTCTGACATGGCCTTCAAAATACTGGGGGTCACTGATGGAGAGAAGTGGCAAAAAAAAAAAAAAAAAGGATTTGCTGCAATGGAATAAAAGGGACTGCAGACCACAGCCACATGCAGAGTCACTGTGAAATAATGGAAATCACCCTAGTGGCACCAATGCAATACCTAAAGAGTAACTCCAGTGGAAACAAGCATAATTGCATGGTAACTGGAGTTGACACCATTGATTGCTCTTCTGATAACTGTTCAGTCACTGAAACTACTGTTTACACATGGAGGTAAACAGAGGGGGAAGGGAGATCAGGCCTTTAGCAGTTACAACTTCGAAAGCAAGAATATGTACACAAAGTCCTTTAACATTTCCCAACACTTCCCTTAATAAATAATAGTATATTAATAATAGTGTCAGATTTTTCTTCCTCAGGATTTTCAGTTTGATCCATAGTGATGGACACAAATCCAGGGCCAAATCCAAATCTCGTGTGTTCTTTTTTTCAGTGCAGCTACACACCAGTTTAGCACCAACATTGCTCTATTCCAGTTGGGACCCCTCTTAAGATCCCAGCATGTTGTTTATTCCTACGGATCTCCATTTCAGCCTGACTTTACCCTGCTTTTCTTGGTGAGTGCAGGTAATTATTAATGTAATTTGCACATCCAACATAATTTGCAGGAGTTGCAATTTGCAGCTGCAATCAAATACTTGGAAATACAGGCAACCCCCACCTAGCGCTCTTGTTTCCTGAAAAAAAAAAGCGTTAAGTGAAACCAAAAGTTTTTGATGACCCACAACGGTGACTGCCAGTGTTTTTAATAACCCAAAATGGAGACCACGAGCATTATAACAAAACTTGCCGAGCACTAGGTAGTATCAATTTAAAATGAGCGATATAGCGAAACAGCACTAAGGAGGGGTTGCCTATGTATATACATGCCTCAGCAAATCACAAACCAAAAGTGGAGGTCATTTTTTTTTTTTTTTTTTTTAACATTGACCTCTGAAGAATTGCCTAAATTCACAGAACTAACCAGGGCCACAGCTGAGAATTTTCTTCTCCCATCGACTCCTTTAAGAGAAAATAACAATTTCCTTCAGCTCAGCCCTTCAATAAATGAACAAACATTCTAAGCAGGCTGATGCAATATTTTGGGGAAATAAAGCCAGTGGAATGAAAACACACTGACATATGCTATGCTGACTTTAAAGCACTGCTTCTAAACACGAACACATTGGTGCAACCATCAGTTATTTCTTGGTTTTTTCAACGAATGAGACTGGGTACTGCATCTAGAATATTTGGTAACAAGCAGAACAGTAAGATAACAGATTTACATCTGACCTACCCAGCAATGCAGTGTTGTCCATAAGCATCTTTCCTTTGTCTGCATACTCCTCACTGAAAAAATCACCCATGAGCAGTAATTTGATGGCTTCCTGTTTCACACCGTCAAAGAAATTTGACTGAATGGTACGTGACACTGAACGGGCTCCATCCTTCAGTTTTCCTACCTGTATGGAGAAAAGGTATCAGCACAAATGACACCTTGAATAACAGCCTATAGGCTTCTGTCACTTACACATGAACAAACAGATCTTAAATTCTCCTTTACCTTGTGTTTTCCCTCCAGGGCACGACTGCCTGTGAAAACTCTACTCAGATTGTGACCGTTGACAGTCCACATTGCTTTGTAGGACTCCACAAAGCGCTCCACTATAGGCTTTGAGTTCAACCCTAGGCTCTCTAGCTGCATGTGAAGAACCTGAATTGGACACAGGAAGAAGAGACCTGAAAAAATACTTTCCATATTTCCTCTTCTTTCCCCATTTAGGAATTTCACCTGGCCATTGTTCTAAAATTCAACCAGTGAAAATATCTTAATGCTGGCAAGACAGAACTACATCACCCAGAACCCCCCACTTGCTTTTTCCTGCAGGATATAAACTAGGTGGTAGAAGACTGTATTTAGAAAAGGCCTTTGATAAACTTACCTCAAGTGCAATGAAGGACTGCACACTATTAGTACGATCCAGACAATCCAGGCAATTCGATCGGAAGGTACCTGTTTGCAGACTTTGGTAACCAAACAAAGAATAAAGAGATGTATGGCAGGTTATTAGGAGTCCCCATGTCAAACAAATACTGACAAGCTTTCTTATTTGCCAAGTTAGCAGGTCGACAAAAATTGCATCTGACCTACACGTAAATGAGGCCAGGTTCTCTAACACTATGCCTGCATTTTTCCACCCACACTTTGCATATGTGAGTACTTGCCAACATGATTTATCTCATTTAGATGTCTGAGGAGCTGACTGTAGCTGCAAAACCACACCAGCAATTACTTATGCTAGAAATTTTCCAGGTTCAAAAAATGGAGGCCTGGCTAAGGCCAGCAGCCAAAATTTGGCTCACAAATTGTACATGACCTCAAAACAGATTTCAAGGAGCCCTGTTAAATTCCCTATAATAATATATTCTATAAAAATACAAGAGCATATACAATGGGACCATTAGACCATGCATTCAATTTTGATTCCAACTGTGACCACCATTTCATGCTTTAAAAAAATATATGAAAAAGGCTACAAAACACCAGCAGAATAAATAGAGGAGGGAAATAGGGGTTAATTCTTCCTGAGTCCCAGCAATTAGCTTACACCCTTATACGCAACATTTGATTACACTTATTGTATTTTGCATACTCAGAAATGTTGTCAGTAATCATGAAAAGAACCCAATACAGAAGATTAATTAAACAATGACATTTTTACTTCTGTCAATTTCTATCAAAATAGTTTCTTGCTCCTAAAATTGTGGTGGATTATTTATTAGAAGGCTAAATTCAATAGCTCACTCCCAGATCTGACTATATACCGAAGGCACTTCTTTTTTTGCAAACTCTCTTCACATAATCAACAAATTAATATTTTTAGTCTCATTTGCAACAAATGCTTTCACATCTAGGTGGATCTTTCCTATCATGATAGCTAAATAGGTTCTATAAAAGGTAAAACAATTCAATGGACAGGAAATGAATGCCCTAATAGAAGCAAATCAAACCTGAAATGAATATGGTGCTAAGTCATCTAATGAAAATGATTGTGAAGAAGAGAACACTGCCTATGCATAGATTGTGAGAATCAAAATTCTAAGAAATCGCTTTAAAGGTGGGAAAAAAACCGAGATCTTAAGTTATCAAATGGTCTACGTAGTCTGGATATAGAAAAATTGGCATAGAAAGGCAACATATCGGTACAAAGGGAAGTCGCATGAAAATCTTGAATCAACACCTTTTAAAATGTAAATAGCAGAGGAAAGTTAAAGCAGCTGCCAAACAAGGGGATAAATGCAGTTCAGCATGTGACACGATCTGTGCCTCCAAAGGGACTGAGGGGCAGGAACACTCACCGTGGACTTACATTCTTGCTCTTGGTGAAGATGCCAAACTCATCCCAGTGCAACTTTAGCTGAGGCCCCAACAAATTTTCCAGCTTCTCTATTTTTCCACCTTTTGCAAACTGATGATAGTCAAAATTGATCATGGGTGTGTCTGCTGCATGGGAAGAAGCCCACAGCAATTTCTATTTGGAAAAGGAGACGAGGAAAGCAAAGTTATGGCTGACACAACACCTGAATCCACTGCACTGGTAGTAAAGTTAGAGAAACCTAGAAGGAAGTACACAATTTCACTCTTCTTTTTAAAATGTCAACTTCCTGTCCTTTCCTTTCTCAGAGTAAATTGGACTGTTAGAACCAAATTGCTATAGTGGAACCTCTGTGGCTACAAAATAAAGGTGGGGGCCTGCTGGCATGTATAGATCAATGGCAAGGCGCATAAATGCTCATTTATAGCTCCCCTGCAGGAGTCAGACCATAGTGCGTGCAGAGAGCTGATGTGTAATTACTGGAGTTCCATGCTGGCCAGCCCCAGAACTCAACAGAGCTTTGACTGGGTCTAACCACGCAGCCAACATGAAACGAGATGCAAGACTGGGGCCATAAATTCACCAGAATAAAACCAGTCCACACTTCTATGTTACAGCTATCCCTATTACACATAGAAACGTGTAGCCCTGACAAGTTCAAATTTGAGAGAGGAAAAAATTGTGAAATTGTATCCTAAAACACACCATAAAGTGATGTTGGCAGTGAATAAAGCAAATGAGAGAACAGGCATGAAATGCCCTTCATTAATCTGATTACCTCAGATTTTACTAAAATAATTCCAATGTATAACACACATTATTCAGAACTAAAGGGCAAAGCAGTGAACTAGAGAGTTACTGTTTTAACTGTCAAACACTTGGTCTACCTCTATCTCCTAGTATGAGGAATAAGAGAGTGCTTTTTGCATTTGGCTCATGCCACTTAGGAAGGGGTTTTGGCTAAACTGAAAGAAGCCACTCAGATATCAGAATGCAAGTGGCTACATGGAGGCTGTGCCATTAAGACTAATATCAGTATGACCAGTATAACTTCTCCACATGGACAAAGCCAAAGCTGTTTTAGCTCAGTTAGGGATGTGTTTCACTGTATTGTTATCAGACTCAAACACTTACTTTCTGCTTTTCTATCCACACTGCAGGGTACATTTATAGCTGTATCAGGGACAAAATCTGCCCACTACCGCAGTGCACATCAATGTCAAAACTACTGAAACCTAGACAGCCGTCATGCTTTCATTATACACATAATTACAGTTAGTTATAGTGGTTATGTAAGGCTTGCAAGATGAACAGCTTTACTGGGAACAATACTTATTTCCATCTTCCTGTTCCAGGTAACAGTGGAAGTTCAGAAGCACATTACTAAATTAATAACAAAAAAACCCTCCTTCATACACTAACAGTGTTGGTGACTGACCTACTTGGTCAAAATGAACCAGCACTGACACCAGCAACTGTAATGAACATATTTTAAATCAATTTAAAGAAAACTTCAAGACTGCAGCAAGAGATCGAAGAAATTAACACAGGAAATTAAATTGAAGGGAGATGAAAAGAAGTAAACTTAAGAAAGAGGAGGAATAAGGGAAGAGTTCCACAATTTACATCTTTCTTAACTGTTAGCCTATTTTTAACTTGAGCATTTTGAAATGCATCAAGTTAAAAACTATTCATACAAAAAGCAGTACAATGAAAATGATCCAAGATGTCGCTGTTCTGGATAAATATAATTTTAGATGGATAATACCAATTTCTAATGTCGTTAATCTAGTTCCGTTTACCTTCACAAAAATCACTTACAGTTTTATGAGAGGCATAAAGCTTAATAACAAAAATCCCAAAACAGCTCTTTATTGAAAATAAATGAACAAACACACCAATGTTTATGTGATAGGTCCCTGAATTCTGATTTAGTTGCGATTCCCTGTTCTAAGATAATAAAAAAACTGACTACATTGAAAGGAATTCCCAGAGAGAGAGATTCCATACGAAAAATAAAATCTATTATTTCTGTGCCCAGGATAATAACAATGGTGAAAAGATCTCTGAGAATGTTGATATTTTAAGTAAACTACCTTGAATAATCAGTGCCAAAATTCATAAGGGACATCTGCTTTATATTCCTGTACTTAATACTTGACACTTGTGAGACAGTGTAATGTGATATAATTATAACTTTGTTCAGCTTTTATCCACAGGTTTCAAAGCACTTTATAAAAGGGAATGAACATCATTATTCAGGAATGAACATTATTATTTCAGTTTTACAGGCAATGGAACTAAAGGATTGAAGTGACTTGTCCTATGTCACACAGAAATTCAGTGGCTGAGCTGAACATAAGCCAGGATGCCCAACTCCATTTCTGCGTGCCTTTTGTCTTGAACCACAAACTTGGGTTAGGACCAGCTACATTCCTACCAGGGGAGATTGTCACTTTGCCCCTTCTACTACCTGTTCAGTCCCTCCGCCACCAGGGGAGGAGAAAGGAGGGATTGGTTACCAAAAAGAATACAACTTCCCTAGTCTGTCTCTAGCTCACTCTTTCCCCACACTGGCTCAGGACTGACAGAAGTAAACCAATGTGGGTTTTTTTTATACCCAACCAAACAGAAGCCTTTCACCTTGTCTAATTTTACATGATAAATATTTCAAAAGCTGAGCCATCAGGACTTTCACATCATTCTGACCTCTTGCTTGCTTGGTCAAAGCCTCTGTAGCATGACAACTAAAATGCATTAAACTTTACTAAGCATAAAAATATATATATTCAAAAGCATCCAAATGACTTTGGAATTAGAGTTCTTTTTTCCAAGTGACAGGCACTTATGAGCAAATTTCCCGTTGACTTTCAGTGGGCACATCTACATGTGCAATTAATGGGCACAAATAATCTCTGGATCTTATTGCTCCAGAGTTTTTTGCTCCTGGGTGTGCTGTTTGAACATACTCCTGGGAGCAAAAAACTCCAGACCATATTGCTCTGGAGTTTATTTGTGCACAGCACGTGGAGCCTGGTTGGAGTAACCTGGGCTGGCAGAGAAGCCAGGGAGTCAGCCTGCCAGCCTGGACTGCCCTGACCAGGCTTCACATGCTGCAGAGGGACAGGCCGGGACACAAGGGTGCTTCAGTGCAGCAGGGCTAGCCAGCAAGCAGCCCCCATGTGGAAGCACCTTCCTGCCCCAGCCAGCGCCCCCCACAGCACATGGAGCCCCATTAGAGAAGTCAGCCCAAGGTCCCCTTTCCGGCTCCACATGCTGTGGAGGGGACAGCTGGGGCACAAGGGTACTTCAGCATGAGGGCTGCCTGCTTGGCTAGCCCCACACTTAAGCACCCTTGTGCCCCAGCCAGGCCTATCTACATGTGTGCTGCGGAGCATGAAACAATGCCCCACTGGGTAGTAGTTGTGTTTAGCTGGACTACCCTGCGGTGGCGTTTATTAGTCTACTGTGACCTAATAGGGTCGCACATAATTAGTCAACTAAGACTAATTTTAGGTTTTTAAAAATTAAAAAGTCAACTGAGACTTAGGCCACATCTGGTCTAACAAACCAGTGGGGGCCAACATTTTTGGCAGGTGTGCCACAAATAAAGCCCCGTGACCTCCCCAAGTGCTAATCTGGGCCTTTCCCCCTGCCTGATCTGCCGCTCTGCTCTCTGCCTGTTCCTAGTTCCATTTTTAAAGATAGGCATATTATATTTACTCTTTTCCTGCAGTCCAGGACTTTACTTATCTTTGATAACTAATTGAGGACAACAGACAATGGCTCTGCAATTACCTCAACCAATTCTTTGGAGTACTGTACAATGAATCGCATTCAGCCTTGCTGGTTTGAAAATATTTTTAAGTAATATCTACCATCCTGATATTTTATTCATGAAATGTTACACAAATAGGGAA